AATAGCCTTCCGTCAAAGAGCTAAACCGGACAAGACTTTTTACTTGCACCTTATAAATCGTATGCACGCTGCACCCGAAGTCACCTACCCACACACACTGAGTCAGCCATCTGCAAGAATCTTCAAATCGGATGGAGGCAGATATGTAACCCCCAAAAGAAGAAGATGAAATTAGTTCCTACATCCAGATCCACGTGAAGGTTAAACACGATGTCGAAGACGATCATTGATAACGTATCAATTGGAATGTTGGAGTTTCAATGTCTATTTTTTTTAACCTGCTTTGTGTTCACACTTTGTGGGTTTTCCTTTTTTCTCGAAGTACCCTTTTCAATGGAACCGGTACCCCCTTAAAGTTACTCCACTACTTCTTATTTCACAGTCTTTCTTTTTTTATCTGTTTTCTGTACTAGAAATAAAAATCGACCTACAGACAGTATGTTTGCTATATATGCCATTAATATGTTAAAATATTTAAATCTAGGGAAGAAAAGGGAGAGAAGTAACAGAGATAACCTGATGGAAAAAGATATATATATATAAACGTGCGAGAATTCTCAACTCTGACATGACAACGGGTGTTCCAAAATATGTAGGCGTGAAGAAAATGCTCTAGAAACGTGAGACGTAGCTGTACTTTACATTGTATTACGAGCTTTCGGCTTGTGAGGCCGTCTTCAGGTTCTGAAGTGCAAACACATACAAAAACAAGTACATTGTATTAATAAATATACATGGTATACAAACTTAATATCACTCAATCATAGTCTAGTATCATGAAGATAGCAAAAATTAGTACGAGAAATACTTTCGGAATAAACTTAGAAATGATTATGCAAATTTAAAGTGTTTTACCTTGCTTATGTGTTAGGCTGTCAGTGTGTTTATTCAGTTGATGTGATATTTGTGAACGTGTAATAAATGTGCGGTGTGTGATGTGTGGATTACTGACCTGTGAACCGGATGTTACTGATCTATGAAACAGCCGGTGTCGTGACCTGTGTCTAGGGAGGGGAGAGCGAGGAGGATAGAAGGCTTCATTCAAATGCATTGGAGTGTACGCAGTCCGATTGGTTGCAGTATATTGACTCTACAGTGAATGGACCCTCTTCCAGAATCTGGCCTATTTAACTTTGATCTCCACCACACCTGCCAACGCTACCTCACCCTACCTATTTGCTACCAGCCGATGATAGTGTGATCATTAATTAGGACGGTGAGCATAATTATGAGTTTGTTGATACCGCCATCTTTGACGGCTTGAATCAATAAGGGACCGGGCAGATTCTGGACTAAATGGACCCTGGTTCACAAAACTCAGTGTATATACCAAATATACATTTAGGTAAAAATATCACCAAACTACGTCTGAGCACACACAACTTACCCATAGAAACGGGAAGATAAAAAAAAAAAAAAAAAAAAAAAAACGCCCCCGAATCTACGAGTCTGTGAAGACTGTAATATGAATCTTGTACGAGATGAATTCCATATAATTATGAAATGTGACCAGTATGAAGATTTACGAATAGATTTTATAGAAAAAATTAGTAATTTGGAAAGTCAAGAAAAATTCATATTTATAATGAGATTAGACAATAAAAATTAACACAGTACTTGATCATGTCGCAGTGCGTAAAGTATTAAAGTAAATTGAACTTCGACGTGAGAATACGACATTCTGTTGACATCCTAAACGGTATGAATGATCGCTGCAAAATATTTAAAACAAATATATGCTGTCTTTATTCGAGTGTCTGGATTAAAACTATGGTCCCTCGGTGACTTTAATGGTGCTATTGCAGTCACCTTGGGCCCATAAATTTAACCAGAGCCTAGCTCGTAGCTCTCAACTTCTCAAGGCAGTATATATTTGTATATATAATATTGTCAATGTCCAAAATCACCTCAAAAGTGATTTTGTTGTTGTTGTAAAAAAAATCCAAGAACATTTCATTGCCACTATTTACTATTACAATATGTGTATTTTTTAACATAGAATGCTGGGGGTTTGTGATTTTGTATCTATCATATCTCAGCTCGCGCTCAAAAGTCAAAGTTGTCAATGCACCTTTGAACGCCAAGGCCCAAGTGAGGTAATTATGATTTACTCGTAAGTCCGTTTTGGTGGAAATTCTACACTTTCAGTTTGAAATCGGTGTCGTGTTGTTGAAATTTTTAAAAACCAGTACAATCACAGACCATTTTAGGTTCTGAAACAAAGTTAATTAGTTAAGTTAGATCAGTGGTAGAGCGCGGATCGAGTTCCTCCGACTAATACAAAGTCGAGCGCGCTCCGTGCTGGTGTCGGCCCGCCGTCGGGCGGCGACTATCGGCCCCGGCCGGGCTCCTCATGTCAACTCGGGACTATGGCCCGGCCTAGCTGGTCTGGGGAATATATGTCCCCTGCATTTTGAGATATTTGAAATATTCCTCGGTGAACAGGACTCAGGCTTTCGTGCCGCCTCCTGGTTTCCTTGCCCCCTTGGTCTTCTTTGGCGGCTTCTTAGTTTGGTTTGCTGTACATTATACAATTTTGCAAATTCTGCAACAACTCCTGTGTTCATACTCTCTCAAAACCTTTGAAGTACTAAAAAGTTATATGTTTTTCGCTCTTTCAGACATCAGAAATGTGATGTGCACAACTTTTTAAATTTTCTATAATACTATATATTGTATTCGACAAAATTGTCATTATTGTATAGCTAACAGGTCAGGGTGTATTTTACAAGGTAACTATTTTGACATCACTATTTTGACATCACTATTTTGAAAAAGGCGAATCCCATTAGAGAATGGTGAGTAGGGAAACTAAAAACATGGGAGTATATAAAGGTTTCCCTTCCCAAGAAATCAAATAGGAGTAATTTCAAAACTTTTTTAACTGATAAATTCCTCAGCGTTACTTTGAAGGGAAGAATCCGTACAGTAATATACTATGACGGATTCGTCTGTGCAAAATAAGCAGGCGAATTTTTAAATAATATTATCAGGTAATGTTTGTTCTGTTGTATGTCTCAATGCCAAGCAACACCTGACTGAACAAAGTTCAAAGTCTACACAGGATGTTACAGTTCGGACTTCGTATCAATAGGGACTTTTAGATTTGCACAAAAGTCAACAACAACGAGGATTGCTACGATCGACGTCCTTTTAATGCATTGCCTTGAATGGACGTCACACGTATCAGTCCACGCAAATCTAAAAGCGCTTAGAGACATTTGTATTAAGCGCTATATAAAAATTAAATATTATTATTATTATTAAAAGTCCCTAATGTATACGTCTGGATCGTGTACATGTAGTTAATACATGTAGCTATCTAATATTTTGTAGAGAGCCCCTCTGCTTTGCAAACATATACGTAGGAATGAAGAATATTATTGTTAAAGTAAAATTGAGATATATGATACCCGCAGTTGCCGATTGAGAGAGAGAGAGGGAAGAAAAGAGTGTATACAAGTGTATGTGTATGCGTACGTGTGAATGTATTCGTAGAGTTTGTTTGAACTTATTTAGGGTACCCTTGCCTCGGGAGTCGGGACGTTATGTTTTTATAACTTTATAATATGTATGCTGCTTGTAAGTATCGGCTTGCATGGTGTAGATATACAGTAGGCTTGCGGGTGCACCGTGTGTGATAGAGAGAGTGAGGATTGAGGAGTCCTGTAAAGGACTCTCGGTTATCTTTCTTGAGGGCGTGTAGTCCTGAAAAGGACTGTTGGTGTAGTCTTGGTTCTCCTTAGAACTATAAGCTAAGAAAAATAACCAACAGTCTTTTTCAAGACTACACCAACATTCCTTTTCAGGACTACACACCCTCAAGAAAGATTGCCGAGAGTCCTTTTCAGGACTCCTCAATCCTCCCTCTCTCTCTCTCTCACACACGGTGCACCCACAAGCCTACTGTATGTATAATAAGTAATTTGCAATTGTTGATATCAATAAAAGCATGTAATTTTTGAGGGGTAATTACATTAAGACCTTGTGAAGGGAATATGTTAAAGGGGATTTAACTTATTTAGGGGTACCTACTTTTTGCATTCATTTTCCACGTGTGCCTCACATTTTTTTTTTTTTTTTTTTTTTTTTTTTGGGGGGGGGGGGGGGGCAGGCGTTAAACCCCTAGCGCACTCTTTGTTGGCCCTGGGGATATCCCAATCATTTTGCCATACTTTTAATGTTTCTCGGTGAAGCAGACTCAGGCTCTCGAACCGCCTTCTTCTAAGGAAAGGGTTTCCTGACCCCCTCGGTCTTCTTTGGCGGCATCTTAGTTCGGTTGGTTGTACCGTCTCAAATTCTGCAAATTCTGCAGCAACCTCTGGGCTCACTCTCTCAAAACTTTCAAAGTAATAAGTGGCTATGCTGTGCTATCCACTCTCTCAGACCTCAGAAATATGATGTCTTCAACTTTTTTAATGTCCTATAAATTCGTGGCGCGCCTATTGATCATCCACCAAAAGTTGAATGACGCCCGCCCTTATGTCTAGCGGGCTTCGCCCGATTCCCGTATATTTACTGGCGATTTCTAATCACTAGTGTTCAAAGGGCACCTCCCGAGCCCCGTTCAATATGTGATTAGGGTAGATTTAAAGCGAAAAATGCGCTCGACGCCCTGGCTGTTTTAAAATTCGGCGACCATCTTGCGATCCACAAATTCGGCCGGAGACCGTTGGATATATGACGCAGGCATAACAGTCTGGAGTTGATTTCCTTAGCAAGCTCATGATCTGTTCTAACAATCGCGATCTTAGACAGGTTGGGGAAAATGTTGATGATGAAAAATTGAAATTGGAACTAACACTTATAATTGGTGCTTGCACAGATGTCTCATTTTATTTACGGGAACCTAGTCAGCTTTGCACAGATGTAAACCAATGACTGGTCCTAATATGATAATTAGCATTGTTTATCCACTCTTTTATTTTAAAACTATGATGAAGGATCACCAGTTTGAAGTGCATCCTCGATCCTTGGCCATGTACCTTGGCCAAACTAAAATGTCGAGCTTGAGGAGATTGCAGACTCTGCTGCGACACACTTCCAAGCTTCACCCATGGGCTAGGCAGAATCTACACCAGACCATGACCAGGTCCTCCTCAAACAGGCTGTTTAGCTCTAGACCTGGTCCAGCTCTCCAGGTCAATCCAAGGTGTGGTCTTGCAGATGATCTGCTTGATGTGAGGGCCAGTGGATTACTTCCGGGTCAACTTGTACAGCTTCAGGCAGAAGTGGAGTCAGAATGCCAAAGATTCAGGTTTCAGTCAGTGGCCATGTTTCAAGCCGATGCCAAAGGTCAAGTCATAGGTAAAAATCAGAGAAAAAAACGAAGACTGTGACTACCTAGGCATTCTTACAGCTATTTATGAAACCAAGTAACAAATTATATTAAACAAGAAGAACATGTGTCTTTTCAAAATGGTTCATTCTAATTCAAAACAACGTAAAGACCGTCTTCATTAAATATCATTCTGTACATGTAGGGGGTGTAAACAAAAAGTGTGATTGGCAACATCAAATTATTTCGAAATTTGCAAGAGAAGATTTAAAGTTATGATTGCTTTTAAAAGACATTGTCTGTCTCAAATGGTATCAAAACAAAAATGTTGCATTATAAAGTACCCACTATGAGTAGGTATACAGCACATTTAGTAATCGCCTTAGTATCTTACGACAAATAATTTCAATGAAGCTATTCTAGTCTACTGCTTGTATATAAGTTAAAATCACTTCTGAAAATTTAAAATGATTTTACTCAAGGCAAGAAACAAATTTGGAATATTCTAAAGAGTTTTGGAAGTATAATAGACTTTTAAGAATCGTGGTACATTGTATTTTAGTCATTCTAATGCGCGCAATGTACTTTAGGTAGCCTAGTTTTGAACTTAAATACTTTCATACTTACTTGGCATTAAACTATTTAACTTTGGACAACAAACAAAATAGATAATTTTATCATGTCAATTCTCTGAAAATTTATGAAAATTGCTTGTCATTTAAGTGTTCTTTGGAGTTTTATATACCGGTATTTGATTCTATTTTGTGTGGCCACCTTTGTGTCTCTAATTAAAGAGGAGATACTAAATTTCCTGTATGTTTGTGTAGATGACATAAATCCTAGCTCATATATAGAACCTCTTTCTACCTTCTTTTTTTCCCGTTATAGTTTGTTGTTTGGTCTCGAACAGGAATACATGTAGCTTGATAATGATAGGATTGTATTTAATGTCCTTTTGTAAAAAAAAAAAAAATCATCTACATTTGCCACTCGTTGTTCACCCAGTTCTAAATGAGTACCGCTAGGAAGAAATTATTTAAATGCTGTGAGTACCACAATCGGTAGACTAGCATGTAATATTGAAACGCCTTGAGAACCTTGCATGATGGATATATGTGCTATGAAAATATCTAATATTGTTACAATTTAATAGTATTACATTTTAATTTAGGCTGACTACCCTCGGTCCTTCTAGCCTCTCTTTAGTGTGCGTACAGAACAATTTTATGGTATTACCTGGCAATGTCGGCAGCATGTATAGTTGAAAGCCAAGAAGCTCCTTAAACGATTTCGATGCCAATTTCATACTTAATGTCATTTTGTTATGCTACGTAGTCAGTCAACACGCCTCTCTTGGTGGGACCTATGAAGGTGTGGAGCCTATGGGCCTGATCTGGAGCTGTAAACCTGTACCAGAGGTAGCCCATCTTTACCCGAGACTGAAGAAAGCAGACTCGAGACAGCCACTGAAGTACACCATAAAGCTTCTAGATCGTGGTGAGCCTGAAACCACCCTGCTTGCTTCGGAGGTGATTGAGAGATGCTATCTGGCTGACTATGTTGAAAGGGTAAAAGTTTCCACTGGAAAGTGTCATGGAGTATTCTTCTTCCCCAAGCATAAAGGTAAAACAGAATACAAAGAAATATATACATGTTTATCCGGAATGTACCAAACACCTAACAATATGAATATTGGAATTACGTGAATCCTAAAACTTGATTGGAGATACAAAACTCATGGTTTAAAAATGCCCTTCAGTGAGGGAATTTTATCTACAATTTATTTATTTATTTATTTAAAAATATTTATACAGGATGACAATATCAACCAAGGCTGTTTTTCATATTGGTCCTGTATATACATACATGGTAAAATACAAACAATGAAATACAATATATCAATGAAATACAAATATCATTGAAATATGCAAAACATGAATAGATTATTGAATATTGAATAATATAACATTTTATAAAATAACCAGCAACTGGATACATATATTTACATTCAAAGGTTTACCCAGGATCACAAAAAGAATGATTTGAAACAATGTACGAAAAAAACAAAAAAACAAAACTAACAAACTTGTATTTATTACAGTAGGGTAAAAAAAAAATATATATACACACATCCATGAGGATATTGGTTATTTACAACATTAATGAAAGTACAATCTTTTATAAAGGTATTTAAATGAAGAAATAGATGTAGAATTCTGTAAGTTAATAGGTAATGAGTTCCAGATAACTCCTCCTGAGTACATAAGACTGTTCTTAAAGCATTCTAGATTAGGTTTTGGTAATATTACATTTGTTTTGTCAGCGGCTCTAGTATTTAAGTTATGTCTATCGCAGACCATTTCAATAGCATTACACAGATGTGTTGGTGCAATACCATGTACAGATTTATACATTAAAACAGCTAAAAAATAATTTCTCCTTTCGTCAAATGATTGCCATTTCATTAATTTTATTAAATCATCACCTCTAACATTTTCATAGTCATAGTTGGATGTAATTATACGTGCTGCTCTCTTTTGTAATCTTAAGAGTAACTCTTTATTTTGCCTTGAGCAATTTCCCCAGACTGTGCATGAATAGTCAATACATGGTAAAATAATTGTATTATACATGAGCTTTAAGGATTTGACATCTAAAAATTTGGACATATTACGTAATGAGAACAGTTTCATAGAAATCAATCTGGTAAGTCTTTTAACATGAATATCCCAAGTAAGGTGTTCATCAATTTCCACCCCTAAATATTTAACATTATGAACCTGTTCCATTTTCGATCCATCCATGTATACATTCAAGTTATATGCTTTACGTGTACTTAAAAGCATAATTTTGGTCTTTTCAGCATTAACTTTTAAATTATTCTGAGTATACCATCTATGTATTGAATGAACATCATTTTGTAACAATATGGTTAGTTCATCAATATTTTTATGAGAAGTATATATAACAACATCATCAGCAAACATATTACAGGTACATGTCTTCAAAGACTGAGCTATATCATTAATAAAAAGTAGAAATAAGATTGGTCCGAGGACACTCCCTTGGGGTATTCCATTTAATAATGTCTTTGAGTTTGAGAGTATACCATGACAGAAAACCATTTGTCTCCTTTCAAACAAATAACTACTAAACCATTTCAACTGTTCATCCTTTATACCATAACATTGTAGTTTCTTAAGTAATAATTTATGGTCAATTGAATCAAAACATTTGGAAATATCTAAAAAGCACGCAGCTACTAATTCTTTTTCATTAAAAGATTCCAGCCAATCATCTATAGTTCTATGAATACATGTATTGGTTGAATGGTTGGGTAGAAAAGCTGATTGATCAATAGAAATCAATTCATTCAAGCGAAGATAATTCAATAATTGTTTTTGGATGACTTTCTCTAAAATGTTAATTACATGACAGGTTACAGATATTGGTCTATAGTTGGTTGGATCATCTTTTTTTCCCTTACCCTTATATATAGGTGTTACTTTTGATATTTTCCAATCAGACGGAACTGAGCCATTTCTTAGACTTGCATTATATAGTAAAACCAATGGTTTAGATAGAACTGACGCTCCAATACAAAGCAATTTAGAATCTACATTAAATAGGTCAAGATTACTTACATTTCCTAATTTGCATAACAATTCATAAACAACACTTTCCTTTAGTCTTTGAAATTCAAAACTATAAATACATTCTGGATGTTTCCAGCTAAAATCGTCATTTTTTGGTTTATTCATTTTTCCAACTGACGTAAAAAAATTGTTCAATTTATCAGCACTTAATTCATTAGGCAATACATCATTTTTACGTTTCCTGCCGGTGATCTTATTCAGCTAACGCCATATTTTTTTACTATCTTTTTTACAATCTCGAATAACATCCTTGGTATAATCCCTCTTATTATCACGTCTTAATCTAGTAATACGGTTTCTTATGCATTTATAATCTTTTTTTATTGCTGGGTCGATATCAGATTTCCTCTTTAAAAAATCTCTTTTATAAATCAATTGGACTAATTCTTTTGAAATCCAGGGACAATATCTTTGTTTCATACGCATAGTTTTAAGAGGTGCATGTTTATCACATACCTTAGTAAAAGTTGATTTCCATTCAAACCATTTTTCATCAATATTATACGTATCATCTTCAAAATCAAGATTACTGGTATCAAAGCTTCTTTCTAAGTCCTGTAAAAAAACATCTCTATCAAATCGTTGATAATCACGAAAAGTAACCTCTTTGTGATTATTATGTTTGGTCATTGAAAAATTTATGCATGTATAGATGAGATAATGGTCACTTAATGAAATCTTTGCAACATTGGTGACAGCATGTCTTTCAGGTATCGTAGTTAAAATATGATCTAAACATTTTGAAGAATTGCTTGTAACCCTAGTAGGCTTCAACACTAATTGTGTCATGAGAAATAAGTTTTCAATCAAATTAATTGGATTATTACATAAATTATGGTCTAAGATGTAGTCATAATTAAGATCACCTAATATTATAAGTTCCTTATTTTCTTGTGACACCTTTTCTAATACATCCAATAGATTATTAAAATATGATACATCAGAATTTGGTGGTCTATAAATACAAGACATCAATACTTGTTCATGATTAAAAAACATTTCAAACCAAATACCTTCCAATGAATTACTTATTAGATCATGTCGCAATGTGTATGGAATAGATTTTAAAATATATACACAAACACCACCACCTCTTTTCTTGTTCATAGTCTTTGGTCTATCCTTACGAATTATTACATAATTGTCTATAAAAACATCATTATCATTTATCTGATCATGTAATCAATGCTTCTCTGAACCAGGGTGTATCTTTTCATTGGTTACCTACATTATGGCAGTTGAATACGTACCTAATTTCTTCTAATTTTAAATACAAACATTAAGGAATATGGTTCTCATGAGCTTATATTAATTTATTTGACGATATGTAATAACCTGATTGTAGCTCGTTGTGTTGTTTTATATTTTTTTGCATAACATTAATGGCAAGTGGGATTGATAAAAGTGTGTTTTAAGATACAAAAATGTAAATCACAGTATCCTTTAAAAAACATTTTAACAAGTCTTAAGTGCAGCATTGTAAATGAATCCAATTACCGAAGTAAAAATACACTAATTCCTTTGATCAGATGTTAAAAACTCTAAAAACACTATTACAACAAAAACAATAGATATCATGATAAATATTATTGCTTTCCAGGTGTCTCGGATCCTCTCCCAGTGGTGGTTGAACTACGAGGCCTTGGTAATGGCGTCTTGGAAGATCGTGCATCTCTGCTTGCGTCCCACGGGTATGCTGTCCTTGAAATAGATTTCATGGCCTCATTTGAACCAACAGAAGACATGAGTGTCTTTTATTTTGATGCACAGGCATTCCTGGTACGTTTACTTCTTTCCTTGAGTCCATCTCTCGACACTTAACTTACTTTTTTGTTGTGCCTCTCTGCACGGTCACTTGTTTGCAATACATGCACATTTTTACAAAATGATAGGCATACATTTCAAGTTCAAGTTCAAGTTTGCTTATGAAGACGTTTCATTAAAACACAGAATATATACAATTAAATAGGGAATAATCACACATAAAATATCATACATCCAACAACAACAACAACAAAATATTTTTTAAAAATAACATAATGGAAGTGAAGGGATGAGCTCAAAAGGAGTATGGTCCTTATGCTAGAGCCCATCCCTCATATATACATTGATGCAAGGATTGCTTTTTGCAACTGACACAATGGCTTTTGCAAAATCATCAATTTCTGGTCTTGGCTCCATGGCAACCCTTCAAATACTGGTATAGATTAATCTTGTTAAATAATCTTTAAGCATTTGGTTTATCTATCCTATGATTAATACTATGTGGCATAATCAGATTATTTTTGTGGCATAGAAAAGTTGAGTTGTGAAGGGTGAACAATAATTTTGTTGACTTTTTCAATTCAATTCAACTCTAGTTTATTGTAAATAAAAAGATACTGAATAAAAAGTCCGGAGACTCATACACTTCAGTTTACAAATTTTAAATACATACAAGAATATAAGAAATCAATACTTTTAGCAATCTTTATATTAATAACTGATTCTAATTAACTAAACAACTAATATCAAATAATCGTAAAATAATACATGTTGTAATTATTCAGTAATAACATTCAAATAGTGAAATATGTTGTCACCATTTTCTAAATGTCATATTCAATTTTTGATACACTTTCAAATTAACGAGTAATCTTTTTTTTAAACCTAGTTAACATTTCTTTAAAAAAACATATTTCTATATAGATGATTATCACAAGAGATATGATAATAAACAAAAATTCAGTCTTAATCATAACTTTACTTTCTGTGAATTTTTCTTTTTTTCTTCTTCTCTAACCATGCATTCATGTAGGATTTATTTCAGTACATTGAAAATCATCCTCGCTTGGATGCCTCTCGGGTGGGTTTGTTTGGGTTCTGTACTGGCAGCACATTGGCCTTTCATGGTCTCTCCAGCTTAAACCTTCCTGTTAAGTGTGCTGTCTTCTCCAGTATGTTCGATATCTTGATGTCTGTCGTCGGAATGAAGATGCCCAACGGAAAATATATTGAACCCCGTGGGTAAGTGCCGGAGGGATTCGAACTCTTTCACTGTTTCGAAGGCTCGTTTTTATTTTATGTCATTTAATTTATATGTATTATTGTTATCATTGTTAAAATAAATGATAATAATAACAATAATAATAATAATAATGATAACATTATTGATAATAATGATGATGATAAGCGTCCTCAGCTTCAATGCAGTTCTTCAGGACCCTGCAATTATTAATACCCCGGTGCTTGCCATGTACCCATTTATACCTTCGTGGAGAATGGTAAATGTGAATTAATGTCTTAGCAAAGGACATTAGTGCTGGGTTGAGATTTGAACCCTCAACCCATGATGACTTCAACCACTACCACTTTTTTTTTGGGGGGGGGGGGAGGGGTCGGACGCTGGCAAACTCAAAGTTGGATATCACAAATAAAAAAGATTATGAATAAAACCTGTGTTTGTTGTGTCCACTATAATTTTATAACAATTTAATTCTGCTTGTCAGATATCGTCGGACTTGCCGACAGGGCATTCAGGGAACCATTTTGTAATAACAATTAGCACGTCGAGTTTTCTTGTATACGTGTACAATCATATCGTCCTGCATCCCTTCTTTGGGAAACAATAATCTCGCAAACATAGCGATGTATTCGCTATGTTTGCGAGAGAGTAAAGTCCCACATTCTTTTACTCCTAAATTGTTGAAAGTCTTTTCGTTTTCCTGTTTCTTTTATGGTGTTTAGTCTTAGACTCACCCCTTTTATCAACTTCGCCAAAAGATAACCCTGTCGTGTTCCCTTACTTCGTTATACAGGCCCCTGGAAGAGTTTACGGAGACCTATGAGAAAGATGGATATACATGGTTTTGCTGCAAGGAGTATGAAAGGATGAAAGTTGTGCATGCGAACAAAATGGAAGACTACCTTCCTCCGGTAAGTTGTATGTTTTAACCGGTTGACAACAAATTGTCCCATACGCATGACCTTCATACAGTGACCAACCAGTTCCAGTAGGCAATACGATTGTGAACGGAATAATGATTTGAAAGCATTCTTTTTTTCCTTTGAACTCATGTGGAAGAATTCCATTCAGTGTAGCATTGTCAATTGACAGGACAGATAAATCTAATTCAAATTTATGGACCAAATTTTTATCATGGGATTGAATAAATACTGAAACTAAATTGTGTTTCATTGTGTGCGCTTTGTTTCAGAGTTTGGTCAGTAAAGACAAATGTAGATGGCGCACTGTAATTTCTATTTTATTTTATCATCGAGCATTCGGAATAACTTCTAGGTAGTTTCTTCATCAATGAATTTTCCTGACGAATAATCTTATCACATTTGGAGGTTCTAATTTGTCATAATGTGTACTTCCCTTAGTTTCTTCTTTATTTCGTTAAAAAAAGTTTGCGATTTCTGTAAGTAACCAAAACTGAGATGTTCCTGTTTTGACGGCATTTTCTATTTTAATTTCCCAAATGAAACCAATATTGTATTACGTAAGGATATTAGTGAAAATATTATAATATACATATATAGATATGCATCAGTTAAAGTAACGTTATGCCTTTCAACTTAGACTGCCCAAGAAGGTATTTCAACTGATCATAAGTGATCTCCAAAAACAAAAAATAGAATTGAACTAAATTTGATCCTTCAAAGGATATCCATACAATGTATATGGAACTCCCTAACATTACAGATCGCAATGCATTTCAAAATGTTGAGCAAGATTTACTTACTTACATGTAATTTTTAAGGATTTTGTATTATTTTTTTAAATCTACAGTACACAGTCTTGAGCGAATGTGACCTTGATATTTACTTCCTGTATTCTAATCATCGTAGGTTGAAAACATATCAGTGCCAACTCTCTTTCTACTTGCTGAAGATGATCAATACCAGCCGTCAAAGGAACGCACGCTAGAGGTATACTGACCACTTTGTTTAGAGCCAGAAGTGCATTAACTGGTATCATTTCACACGGTGTTAACGCCCTTCTGGCATAATCAGAAGTCTGTTAAAAGCAATATCTGTTTTAAGCTACTGAAATCGTGTCATTTGATTGGCTGACGGCAAATTTTCCATAGAAAATTAGCATTTGTTATTGATAATAAATTTTATGAAACAGGGCCCAGGTTTGAAGTTGAGTGTTGAGTTTAGTGTAGGATATTGACTGCAGAAAAGTAAGTTAATGCTGGAGCATGTGTCTTGCAAACAATATGGTGGTCATTTCGTTCGTCAAATTGATGTTTCAAATAGTCGTAATGAAAAATCCAATGATGCCCCATACCGTTAGACCGTATTTTTGACGGGCTGTTTGAAATGTAGAGGTGTCGTGGTCTAGTGTGTATGACTTTGGAGCATGTGGTTCGTGGTACGAGTCCCTTTTACGAGATATTTATCTACATTTGCCACTCTCCATCCAGGTGCATTACATTTAAATGGGTACCCAATAGGTACTTATTCTTTGAATGCTTTTACTAGTGATCTAGGGCAGCTGGAGTAAAACCAGAGTAATACTAGTACTTTGTACACACCTTTATTAAACATCCCTGGTGTGTGTGTGTATTATAAATTTAGCTATTATTATCATTATTATTAGTGGTAGTAGCAGCAGCAGTATTACTAGTATTATTTTTATTATTTTTTGTTTGCATTTCTAGACTATATCTGCCATGGAGGAGGCAGGAAAAGATCACCTGGTGGAGACCTTTTCGTTAGAAGGTTCAGGACACCTTCTGGACGCTCCGTACATGCCTATCTGTACACAGTCCTCTATCAAGTTTCCTACTGTACGATATCGTAAGTACATTTACATGATGAGCAGTGTTACAGCCAACCAAGTTTAATGTGAACCAATCAGGCAATCACCCCAAAAGTCTTTTGTTTTGTATGTTAGTAGTTTCAAGTCGTAATACTATATTCTAGATATGAGCTTCAAATGCTACTTCTGTTAAGACATTTTTGTGCAAGTTAAAATACACTTTCAATTAACATAAAAGTGATTTGTGACTACATTATGCAACACACCCTTATGTACTTGCCTGAAATAGAGCACGCATCGAAAAGAAGTCTGGCTTTTGCTCCGTGTGCGCGGGTTTTATTTCTATTTTTTTTTTCTTTCCCTTTCTCTTTTTTAGCCCATAGAAAGCTGGAAGAAGTTCTTTAGTTTGATTTTATACACGTAATCTGTACACAAATTATTTCAGTGAATTGGTACACTTGTAAAGTATAATTTCTCTTTGCAGATCAATAGTTAACGCTAGTAGTTCAGTAGTAGTATACCAGCAAGAAACCTTGAACACACAGAGCTACTCAATTTTGTTGATCGAATTTTAATTATTAAAGATGTCTGAAATTATGGCTTTTCTATCTGGTATTTGCCGATGATATTCCTTACGAGGTGTGAAGTTATGTTTTTTGTGTGTAATTTCTGATAATTGATGATAGTATATATTGATTTGTCCTATTGATAAAGATCATGATGCCTTTCATTCTTTTTGTTCAAAACCTTTACATATATCTAGCCTATTTCACTACCTGGGGAGGTACACCACACCTGTATGCCCACTCTGTAGACAAAGCCTGGAAGAAAGTGCTAGATTACTACAAGCATCACCTCAACCCAAAAGAAACATACAGATGAAGCATTCAATATGATCATGTGCATCATTCTGAATAGATAGTCATTAGTGAAGTAATTACATTAAAGAACTTACAGATGTGAAGGGATAAATACCATGAGTTCATGTATTTGTCCATCATTCTGAAATAGATAATAATTTTTTAAAAAGTGAGAGATGTGAACCGATAAATACCAATGTTTCTTAGCTTCACATTGTCATTACTGGTAACTGGATTATGTTGCTTTTTTTTTTTTTTTACAAAACTAGTGTTTTGATTTTACTTATTGCGGCAAAATTCCGAACTTTCACTAAGTATATACTTGCACATATAACATAAACATATACACATACATGGACATGTACGTGTACTACATTGTACTAAAAAGGGCCAATGTATATTTTATTTCTGATTTTTATGAGAATGAGATATTTTAAATAATTCTCTCTGATCAGAAATATAGAGAGCATCAAATAAAGAACTTTAGATATGTCAGAATTTGCAATATTTGTGTCGATTTCATGTAGAATGATTTATAATGTTTGTTATTCTCTCGAATAAAAAAATGGATAATCAGATTTACATGACAAATTTCAGTATTTATTTTAGCATTTACGTTGTTCAAGTGGTGATCAAGTGAGGACAGTTCACCAAATCAGGAATAGAGCTTTTGCGAGAATGGGAGATTTTTCTTTCAAAATGAATGGAAATGTTGTTAATAAAACTTCTAAGACTGAATGTACAGTGGGCCCGTATTGTACTATGAAAACCCCACCCTGGGTTATAATACATAACACAAAAAAAACTTAAGATTTGTACGAACTTCCTTTGTTAAATCTGATTTTGAGCAAAAGCACAAACCCAACGTCGGGTTGAAATGTTAGTACAATACGGTCCCGCAGTACATTTGTGGAAGTTCTTTAGATCAAACTCTGTCTGATTTATTGGTAAATAAAGTATAAAATAATTTACTACCATCTGAAATGTGAGTATGATATTTCAGGACAATGATATTTCATGATTATATATTTAGTCGGGTCAGTACATATACATTGCAATATGTGGTATATTGTGCAAATCCAAGCTACTTGTATTTTTCTTTTATGGTACAGATCACCTGTCAAATCTTTGTGTAATATTTACAATAAAAGTAAGAGTAATAATGATGATAATAATATGCCATACTTACAATAGTGCATATCACTAATATTGTCCCTAACCGCACGGTGATAGAGAGACAAAAGAGATCAAGTTAAAAAATTCCAGAAGAATGAGATTCACTCATCATACTTCCTTAATCAGTTAACAGTGGAATTTTTGTCTGAAAGAAGTGTTTCAAGACATGTTTTTTTAATGTGCATCTGATGAATAAAGTGGATAACCCTATACTGGAGTTTGGATCAGACAATATATTAATAATAGATTCAACAATGCTTCTGTAATTATGTAAATTAATGTTCATAATATTTTGGAAAACTAAAGAGACTAAACACGTTGGATTTTCCCAAACTACGTTCATGGGAGTATTAAATGTATTAACAGGACCATTATGTAAAACAGCCTGCGAGCTGATCAATGTTAGCCTGTTAAAAGATGTTTTAATAAATAAATAAATAAATAAATAAATAGAATAACAACATAGAGTAAGTACAATGCAATATCATCAGATAAGTGATACGAAAATCAAACATGTGATGCATTCATTTTGGTAGCGTTGAACCTCGTTCCAATAAATGCTCATGATAAAAGGGCTATTTTGCGAAACCCACTTCTCTGTATTTTATCACAGTACCTTCTGTGTTTTTGAGATGTTTACTATAGCGAGGTTCTTCTACATTTACCTGCATCAATAGTGCTCAACTCTTAAAATCCCTACATACATGTATTTGCTTCTTTTCGTTTCATTTCATCAGTTCTTATCAGTTATCGCGTTTCCTTTTGAAAAGGAATAATGTAATTTATGATTATATTTGTAAATACACCAACAATTGTATTTTGTTATAAATATATGTTTGAAGCTAGAATTGTATTAAAATAAATGAACATATATTTCGTATTCCTTCCCAATTTGATCCATATGTGGCATTTGTATGACGTGTGTACACTGTATTAAAATAATAATATAAACATAAACATGGAGGGATACCCTTAATAAGCAGTTTGCTTGTAGGCAGGGCCCCGATATACAATATAAAATTTACAACTTTGTTAGGGGAGCCTTCCAAAGTTGCGACTGTGCCGCGACGCGTCGGGGCGCAGAGCAGGATATGAGAACAAAGGAGGCGCCTTTATGCGCCCATTAGCGCCTTTTTGCGTCGGATAGGAGAGGACTTCAGTTGGTTGCCAGCTCATTAAAATCTGGCTATTGTTTGGAGTCTCATTGTTACGAAATTACCCCGCCGGGGCGCGCCCCGGTGAAGCACTTGACATTTGTGAATGGGAGCTTAAACTTTGAATAGCTTTCGCGCCCTTTCGCGCCCGGTCCGGCGCATTAGTTATTCATGTAGTGCCCGCTTGTGTGTCGCTCTCGTCTTGCGAGATTTGACTCTGAAAAGCATTACTTTGGCTACTGATTTGTTTTAATATTATTTTACATACATGACATTGGTTACAATGTTTGTTCTGATTGTTTATTTTCCTCTCAAAATTGGAGTTCTGTAGGCGTTAACGTTGGCATGATTGTTCATTTTTTTTATCTCCTCCTGTTCTGTTCATGATTGTGTTCAATATACTGTATCAATTTTAATACAAATTGATTTGTTCACGAAAAAAACAAATTTATTTTATACTTACCCCACTCTCTCTGACATTGTTTTCCTCGTGCATGTTTTGACACTTTAATTGTAATTTTATATTTCCTTATAGCGATGTTATCGCATGTTTCGATTTTCTTGTTTTTTTTAAAACAATTTTTGTTGCATCTTGTAAACAGTTCTGTCGTATGATCATTATAAATCATATAATTATATCATCAGTCTGTTATTTCATAGATCCTTTGAATATTCTTAAAATTAGAGAACGTATTTTTAAATCCGTGATGTTGAAAATGATACTTAATCCAGAATGTCGTAGTTTCTCCATGAATTGGATTTAAAAAGCGTTTTATCTGTATTACGATGTTTTTGTAATGCAAATGATATCCGTATTGTCGGGAACATCATCAATATGTTTCGTTAGAAGGAAGACGCTCATTTTCAGAATGTTCTTTCTTTGCAAAACACTAATGTTACGAACAAAATTAAATACACCGTGCCCGTATCAAAGAATTTTATCGAATATTTCTTTGCGACGAAGGGGGGGGGGGGGGTTACATCCGCGGCCAGTTTTAGATCTAGGTCATTGTTAAGAATAACTAAAATACGTATATATTGTGCTGAATAGGGGCCACGTGTTATCGAAAGAGCGTAGTGCGTTCTAGAACAAATACAAGCCATGGCAATTCGTTGAATTGCTTCTCGTAACAGAACTGTCTCACCGTCTAAATAAGGATCCATCCGGGGGATCCATCATGCACGTGTTGGTATCAAGTAGTAAACGGAATTAATAATGATTGCGTTGTTTTGGGACATTTTTTTTCGGGGGGGGGGGGCAGGGAGCCCTTATTCTTCTTCTACTGGGTCATCAAGAAACACAAATAGTGTTGAAATTTTTCGCAATCCCTTTAGCGCCGAGGGTAGAAAAGCCTTTAGAAAAGTCAGCTGGACAATAGCAATTTAATGTTGGTCAAACAATCAGCGAGAAATACTGGGCAAACAGATATTAGCCCACGTCTTCAATATAACCAGGGAATCCCGATATAACTAAGCACATGCTCACAATATGAATATCAAATCTGGCTATTGTTTGGAGACTCATTGTTACTGTCTGGTAAAGGGGTACTTTTCACGCACCAAAGTCCGGCTCGTCTAGTACACACAAATCCGGCCCGTATTGACTTTACACACCGGACTTAATGGACTGTTTTCAAAAGGAGGGAAAATGCATATGCGTACCCTACATAACACTCATTCGGGGTGGGGGGGGGGGGGGTGCGCTTAAAGGCGAAGCGCTTTTTGTGAATTGTGAATTTGTGAATTTGAAAAGCTTTCGCGCCCATTCCTACGCATTAGTTATTCATGTAATCCTCGCGTGTGTGTCCGCTCTCGTCTTGAAAGATTTGACTCTAAAATTTTCACGTTGGCTACTGATATGTTTTATTATTATTTTACGTACAAGACATTGATTTAGATTGTTGTTCTGATTGTTATATTCCTCCCAAACATCGAAGTTGTGTAGGCGCTGACGTTGTTATGATTGTTCATTTCTGTTCATTAATGTGTTCAATACTTGTATTATATTAATTTCTTCACGAACAAAACAAAAACGATATGTATAATTGTATTCCTTCTGTATGTTTTGACACATTATTTGGTTCATATTACATTTATTTTGTTCTGTCATCCGATCAAAATAGGTCATATATCTATATCATCACTCTGTTCTTTCTCATGCAAGATCGATTTAAAGAATAGAAACGTAGGTTCTCTAAATCTTCGCAAAATCAGCTATTGTATTTAAATACCCGTGATTTAAAAAATGATACTTATAATCAAAGAGATTGAAAGATTCTGCTTGAAATAAGATTATAGGGCGTTTATAAATATGTCATACAAAACAAACAAACATCTGCAAATTAAAGATATTACAAAAATGATAGTCGTATTGTCGGGAGCCTGCATCATCAAAACGTTTCGGTAGATGGAACAATTCGAAATCGCCTATCTGTTCCAAACATGAAATTCGATCGAATATTTCTTCGCGAAGAAACTTTATTGGTGATTTCGAATTGTCTTAAAGTAGATATTCATTGATTTTAAATCTAGCTTTATTTTCTTTATTGCAAAGTTGAAACTTTGATTCGACAAGGTTATCAAAATTCAATGCTTGGAAACATTCGAAGTAATGATTATTATAAATTACAAAATGCTTAAATACAGCCCCGGCATAGCACCTGAATAGCTCTCCGAAGGCTGCTGAGATGTGTCAGATCACAGCAGGGACATGATTTGCACAAGCAGACGATGTCCCATGACATCTCACACATTTTCAGTGCCTGTGTTTTCATCTTCTCTTGAGTTCTTTCTCTTACTTCACTACCGTCAGGCTAAATGTGTAATCTATTGCCTCACTCTAAACCCCGCGCATGGTTTTATTTTGATGACAAATGCAGCGATACAAAAATAAAGGAATCTGTTGCTTGTAAACAAAATAAGACGCCATTGTATATTCAGCTGCAGACACCGCGGTATGTTCGGCGTTTTAAGAGGGAACAAATGCCGCCCTTAATATCAATCCGGGGGCTTTTCAATTTGAAAGTCTGGTTTCTTTGATTGTTAATTAACCCCTATCCTGTGTATTTACAAGCAAAAGATTTTAGTTATCAGAATCGGGTCATGTCCCCTTTTGATCGGTTTGACGTGCCAGTACATTTATATACACTAAACTCATTATAATTTGACAAATAATAGCTTTGCAATTATGTTCATTCTTTATGGGATGTCGTCTGCTTGGGCAGTATTGGTCCCTGTTGTGACGTCATTAAAACATCGTTATTTTTCTGGCGAATCTCTCGTATATCCCAGCTGCTATGGAGGTGGTTGTATTTTTATTTTTATAAATCACCCGATATGTAGCTGACCTCAAACTTGTACGATGGCCATCTGTTAGCTTACCAGTTTCTAGTGATACATTAGTTGACATATATGTGATTTTCTTTGAATTTCACCTTTAACAATTTGTTATCTTCAATGTTCGTGACGTTTTGACGTTGCATATTTGTTAGCTAGCGCTAGTAAAGTCTTTTGTTTTAACGTGCACTGTATATAGTTATAAGGCCTGAACACGTCATGTTCACATTGGGTGTTATATAACATACGGATATTATAGTACATGTAACTTTTAAAAGCACTTTGTTTTTGCAACGCAATGACAAAAGACAACTCTTTGAGCAGCTAATAGTTGTTGCGCTCATAGGCGGCTATTCCCAATTACCGGGCATTATTTGTTATTGTATCATTAGTTAAGTTTATTAATCTATTCATGTTTTCTATTTATTTATTTAGTTTTGGGGAGGGGGATGTCGTATTACGAATTCATGACCCTTATACATAATGACCATGTTCTCAAAATACGAATAGCGGTCTTCATGAATAGTTGTCCAATGAATAGCGGTCCTTATAACTAGCGAGCAACCTTAATGTGTAGCTAAACAAGAATCTATAGCAAGTCGGACAATTATAGCGATCAAACAATAGTCTTGCTCGGCCGCGTGAAATCCTGCCACGGCATTCTATGTTTTTACCTTTAGAGCGAACTTTTCTTTTGTATTCGCTCCATAGAACTCTACTTTATCTTACAGCGAGGTGAAATGAAAAGAGCGTCATCATGAGTAGATCTATTGTTTGATGTTATCCTTCTTCTCCCTAGTTAAGCCAAACCTTCAATTTAGGCCTATCCATAAAAGGTAGCTTCCTGTACCGTTCGCTTTTTTTTCCTGACTGCTATATGAAGCATGTGTATGCTCTGAATTAGGCAAACAGGGGACCGGCGGGTCTAAGATCCTCTCCGAACGAAATGTAATGTTGAGTTATGCCTTACAATAGCATATCGACTTGGTTTCTAACCAGGGAGCTCCCGGTTACGAGCTGCTCTGCTCTACCACTGGGCTATAGCGCCTCCCTCCTTTTAAAAAGATCTTTTAAAATTTGCCGGTTTTTTTTTTTTAGAATAAGAATCAAAACATGTTTGGTATGTTTTTTGTATCTGTGCATTAAGATTTCAAAATTTCACTTTCGCCACTTAATTATACAAATCTACGAATAAATGATTCGAATGTTAGAGCAGAAATCAATGTTTGCATTTGTGTCGAATGATTAATTATCATCATGAACTGATTAATGTTTTGTATTGCATTTCCAATTGCTGCTCAACTTTATCACCATCAGGCTACGCTTTTTAGTTTACATCTTCATGACACACGTGTTTTATAATCTCGATATAGTTCCCGGACTCTTTTTTCTATTTATTGCACTTTTAAAAAGAGCTATGGAATTATTATGATTTAAAACGCCTTTTGGACGGGCAATTTTCGAAGGCAAATCTCGGGCGTGAAATCCTGCCATGGCATTTTATGTTTTTTTTTCCCTGAGGCCACTTAACAAAATATACATGTTTAGCGTCCCCACCTGCTTCCTTTTTGGGGGCCGCCTCCTATTTTTTTATTTTTGGGGAAATTTGTTTTAATTTTTTTTTTTTATTTAATTTAAAAAAAAAAAAAAAAAAATGAAAAAAAAAACACATGAAAAACAATACTAAAATGGATCTATTACTGATTTTTTTAAAAAGTTAAAAGATTTCGGCGGCCATCTTGAAAAATAGCCCGACTGTCAGGGAAAATGTACCGAGCGGCCATTTTGAGCGGCCATTTTGAAAGAAAAAAAAAGAAAAGAGAGGGCCTCCTCCTTCCTAGTTTTCGAAAAAACAGGACACTAATAAATCATTTTTTTATTTGGCCTTAGAGCGAACTTTTCTTTTGTATTCGCTCCGTAAAACTCTACTTTATCAAACAGCGAGGTGAAATGAAAAGAGCGTCATCTTGAGTAAATCGTTTGTTTGATGTTATCCTTCTTATCCCTAATAAGCAAACCTTTAATTTATTAGAACCAAGTCATGGGAGGAGAAAAAAAAAGGATTTGACTGACAAAATATAAATTCTTCCAAACTCAGGCTGTGGCGATGTGCAACGCGTAGCGTGAATATTAATGACGGGAGAGAAAGATAATTCCTTTGTCCATTATACGACGCTAGAATCATATCGCGATGTGGGAATTATACAAATATGTTGATAATCATTCAAATTACAAACATACACAAGCGACCCAAACAGTAATCAATTTGCCGACTATAACCGCATACATGTGGTCATTCACATCATTCGTCTTTTATTTTTTGTTGTTGGGGACAATTAAGCTCGCAATTAAACAACCATTAATCGTACATAGTCATCTTTATTTCACATTTCATACAGTCATCACAAAAATTAAAAGGAGGCGTATTAAACCCAACAAAAATAAATCATAATGTATTCTGATCAAGATGAACGAGTGTGTTGATTGCCCCCCAAAAACAAAGACGATCCCACCAGAGAAGTTCATGCTGTGCTGTAGTAATGTACATCGCAAAGCTTCGCCACAATGATTGGAAAGGTAATACCCCGCCCGTTACGACGCAAAACGGCGCGAGAAGAATAGATCGCGACGCGAGAAGAATACATCATTTTTGTACAAACAATGGAAAGTTTATCAGAACGAAAACCGGAGGAGGGGAAGTCAGGCTTTGGCCGACAAATACTTTCTGTATATCAAGTTTAAGCTGTACCGCGCATCACGAGCGAGAACAATGACGGGAGAGATAATCTTCCATCGCCTGGTGGGGCGCAAAAGGGCGCAAGAAGAATAGAGCGGGTTTATACTAACAATAGACGGTTTCTTTTCATATGCAAGAATCAGGTGAGGGTGACTATTGCGCCCCTTCGCGCCCCTTTGCGCCTCAATGCGTCTCTTGGGACGCGACTGTTCTATTCATCGCGCCCCGACGCGTCCGGGCACAGTCGCAACTTTGGAAGGCTCCCCTTAGAGAAATACCTAAACATTTGAGTGAATTATAAAACAGCAAAATTAAATATAAAGCAGGAAAGTATTGCCATCTTCACATTTCAATATATAGGTGATGCACAAGGCTACTGAAATTGCGTTAGATTGATGGGAGGAGCACCATATGGACATGGTAATTAGACATGAATCTACTAGTAGAATTACATATACATGTAGTTCGATAAACTACTCCCTCCCTCCCTCCCTCTCTCTCTCTCTCTCTCTCTCTCTCCATCTCTCTTTCTCTTTCTCTGTGTGGGTCTGTCTCCCTCTCTTGGTGCTGTTAATTGGGGAGGGAAGAATAACGTACATAATATTAGTGGACAATTTCGTTGTAGTCGGTAGCCTGCATATGTTTAGCCTGAAAACAATGCCACGCTAATCAGGTGTTTGTTACTATTGTTACGTTTATTATTATACAGCGCTTGCAAAATCTAAAGCATATCGATCCATTACAACAAACGATGATGCAGACAGACCATATACATTGTCCAAGGGCGATACAATCAATTAATATGACAGACAATTTCATAAACACAGATTGTGTTCTCAGTTTGAGCTTAATTTCAGTGAACGAAGTTTGCCATCCTGCTTCCTTGCCTTGTATCGCAACATACCTTTCCTCACAGCTAGTATTGTGAACGTTTATAGGTAAGTCATTAAATTATATCATTTGAAGACCGTAGTTGTATCGTAAATTACCGTAAAACATGCTAATTATTACTTTTCCCGTTTGTTTGCTATATAACTTGCTGAAATCTTGGTCGTTAGAAACACGAGGTTGAAACTAGCGGATAATCTACCGATGTACGTTTGAAATGATCTTTTTATTTGGGGGGGGGGGGGGTTCTAAACTAAAAATAAAAACAAAAGGGGATCATGATTAACATATCTTTTTTATATATACACCAACCCGACGAACAGATGTATGGAATATGATCATTCTCACTCCTTCTTACAAATTATAAATCTGCGTCCCGAGATCTGCTGATATAATGCTTCGAATAAATCCCTTCCTGTGAGTTTGTCACCTTTTATTCGTGGAGTTGCTAGACAAATAAATATTACACTATCCCATTTCCATTACAACATTACTCTAGTGATAATATGCTTTGCTATGGCAACTGACTATAAATGTGGAATGTGTGGAATTTTCATTTTTATTTACATGACCAGTAAAACATCCAAAATGATGCCCATGAAAAGAACAGTACTCAAGGGGCTCCTTGCTGTACTCCTGCATTTATGCCTTCTGGAGAACAACCTCGTCCGCGCCAGGCCGACCGGCGCGCCCGTTGAATCTTATCCTGAGATATGTAACACTTTGACACCAGGTCATGGTATACCAGCATCAGTTTCCGAGAGTCCATATTCCATAATCGTGGCGAATGAAACTTACAAACCTGGAGTGGATTTCACCGGTGAGATAGTTTACCAAGATGAGTCAAAACGACTCTCTCCCTCCCCCCCCCCCCCCCCCTCCCCCAAAAGAAGAGATGGAAGTCCAACATTTCTCCATCCGTGGTGAAGGGCAATTTGATTAATAAGTGTGAATGATTTTGAATTCATTGAATAGCTTAATTCATATTACAGTATTTAGGAATAGAAAATGCCTTTTTACATAGTCGTTGTCGTAAGCATAATAAAATTATGTTCAGGAAATACGCCGTAGAAAATGTGGCTTATGAAAATGTTGGTTGTATTGATTAACTGAAGAGAATCCTATCTATTAACCTATTGGATTAAAAAGATTTTAAATTACTCCACCATTTTATTTTGAAAGATAAATTATTGCATTGATATAAGAACAGTCCTGCCATTGTAATATTCACAATTACTCTTTACTTAACCATATCGTATATCAACCATTTAAAACTTTTATTAAGGCACTCTCCGGTCTTATTTTAACACAATTGAGTAATGAAGTGTATTGTTTAATTAATTTAACAGCTCTACTTGTTTTTGATTTTCGTTAGATGGATAATTAATTGGGAAAGCATGTAATGAGTTACTTATAACACGATCGCATAGCTTGACTTTCAAAAATCCGTCATTAAAGTCAACTATTGTACCCATTGTATTGACTAAGTAGAAATTTTGTTCGAATTCAAGTTATATGTCAATATAATGGTTGCATATTGTTAATAAATAGGTGACGCATAACGCTATTGGAATTGCCTTAGGTTGCATTTTAGAATTCTTTGCAATCATGTTTTATACTCTAATAAAGTTTGTGATCATCTTTGTGATCATGATTCATATTTTCCTAATATCGTTTGTTATTATTAAAGATAAACTTGAATTCTGGTAAACATAGAAAATAAACTCTCACAGAATCCAACAAAACTTACACTGAATGTTCAACATTACAAATAAATGACATGTGTCGAACAATTTTGGTAGAAATTTAATTGTTATGTTCTTGCATCATTTAGTCACGATCAACACGGATTCTGGTAGTCCAGGATTAAAAGGGATCTTCCTTCAAATGCATGAGGCGGTCACTCACGAGATCATTGGTTCGTGGTCCGTCATGGACTCGGGCAACTTCAAGACTGTATCGTGTAATGAACAGAACGACAGCGCTGTGACTCATCAGAATTCCGTCGTCAAACCGTCAACGAATACCTTCACATGGACTCCACCCGATATGGGAGGGCCAGATATATATGTGGCGTAAATATCATGAAAACTCTTATGGCATCTTATACTACTACTACTACTACTACTACTACTACCACTTATAATAATAATGATACATAAAATCATGATATTTCTATTACCACTGCTACTACGACTACTACTTCTACTTATAATATTGATAATGATAATGCCCAAAATGGATTCTTCTATGGCGCACATGTCTTTAACACTTCTAGCGTTCTATTGCTATCATCCGGCCTATAGCACTGAGGTTTTTACAGCCCTCTTGCATTTTAAGGAATTCATTCCTGCCATCTAACTGTTTAAAGAGGTAGTTAAACTGAATCAATTCATATTTTTATTTCATTATTTCTTTATGTACATTTATCCAGCGCTACTTTTGTGCAAACTCACCAAACGTTCTGGGTAAATGTGACATCACTGATAATTCCCGGTGAGTATACTGGTTAAGGTATATATATTTACCTTCACATACGTATTTTGTCAATTATAGAAACGTAATATCACTGTTATTCATACAGCTTACAATATCTGCAATGGTTACAAGTAAAGCGGGTGTTCCATCCTATAGATCAACATTGGCAAATCATTTTGTGTAAGCGAGAGAGGGGCAGGGGGGTGGGGGAGATAGGAAAGTAATTGAATAAGTAAAGAAGGAAAAAGTTGAGGGGTTAAAGAGATATGATATCAATCTTGTTTGTTACAGCGCAAATCATATGATTCATGGATGATGAGAAAATCTTTCGAGTTTGACACCTGTTGGTTATAATTGATCCAGACAAATAAAATAGGGTGAAGGTGAGGATGTGGGTTTTGAATTGTGGGGGCAAGGGTAGGATGTGCGTGTGCGTGTATGCCTTTGTGTGAGAGAAAGAATACATATGCGTGGATGCGTAAGTGGGTTTGGGAGTCTGGGACGTGTGGGCATATGCGCGTGTGCGTATAGGCGTAGGAGCGAGTGAGTGTGTGGTGTATTTTTTTTCTCCAATAATTTTACATAACAGCTATTTTATGCTGAAGTCTTAAATATCATCATTCGTGTCTATTTAATGAAACCATGTCACATAGATTAACTCATATTTACATATGTCCTAAACTGTGATTACCATGATAACTTGGACTTTTAATTCTAGCATTAATTTTAAATCAGTATCATCAATATCATTATTGATATCACAACGTGACTTCCAATTAATTGTTAAGCAATTCTTGTTTACAATATTTTTTCTCGTTAACACGATTATTTATCGAAAAATTGCAGATGCATGCAAGGCTTTATTTACTGGATCGGCGGTAATGTGTAGCAATCATGGAATATGTGTGAGTAAGACTGGTGACGCACTTCAGTGTAACTGCGAACCTGGTTATACGGGAGCTACGTGCCAAGGTATGGGAAGTACGTTTCAAAGAATTCCATTCGAGAGTTGTTCAGCATTAAGTTAAAAAGAAGTCGTTAAATGTTAACAAAAACATACATGTAGCCTGTAGCAAACAAGCAATAACATGAAGATTGGGGATGATCATTGAAGAAATATCCAAAAAATAAGTATCTGAGGAACAAATACATGTCGTAGCCTGGTAGCAGAAAGAAAGAAAGGACAGTCAGTTTGTTTAACCAGTTGACTATTACATTTTCTTATTCCCATAGAGTTAACACAGAATCCACAAGATTCCGGTAGCCAATGGATTAATAATTATGTTTTTTTTTTACTACGAAATGTAAATTTTTAAATTTCATCATGCTCAATATTTTTTCCTTGATTTCGCTCATATAATTTCTTTTTCTCAAAACAACCCCTAGAAAATAAAAGATTTGAAGATTTTTCATCTATGTTTCTGTTTCATAAGTATATGGCGTTAATCGTTTCACTTTAGCTTCTGGGTTTGAGGGCACTTTATTGTCCTCTTCACATCCTTTTCTTTTTTATTCAACTATCAAGACTATATTTATATCTAGAACTGAATAAGAAAGTATTTTCTGTTTCATTGTTGTTTCATTGTTGTTTCATAATTTCTTCATCACTCGTCAACCGCCGCAGGACTATTTTTCATTCTATTATATAGACATCTTTATGTATAATATATATATATATATATATATATATATATATATATATATATAACCAGCAATGTGTACAATCTGTAGAGAGTCGTAGTAGTTTAAACACTCGACTGGAGTATCAATGATCGTGGGCTCGATCCCTATAAGCAAGGCATCTACATTCCTCCTCCAGCCTCATCTATTAAGTGGATACTGGGTAGGGTGCGAATGGTTCACTATATCCATTCTGAAGAGAATCCCTTTGAAGATGTATGACTGTATTTTTAACAATAATTATATTTGTTTGCTCATATGTTTGTTTTTGTAATTTCTTTTTTTTGCAGGGACCCCTTTGAAAATCAGCTATTAGCTGATAAGTGCAATTAAATACATGAGGGTAAAATAAAGAAAAAAGACAATCAAATCAATGCTAAGATAATTCAAACTCTGTTAATTCCTCCTAATTATCAAGGAAAACGTTGTTTATAATTATTGTTTTCTTCTTACATATATTGCAGACGATCCCTGCAGTGGCAACGCATGTATGAATGGAGCGACATGTGTCCCAGACGCTGATGGCGGAAACTACACATGTACTTGTTCTGATGGATTTGCCGGTCCAATGTGTAATTTAGGTAAGTTTATCATATTGCATATATAACGCAAACGCACTAGGCGTAGAAAACAACAACTAACAAACATATTACAAAGGACAATCAATTTTTATTAATTAAACTTTTTGGGTAGAAAGTCAAGTGGTTTAAACACTCAATTGAAGATGCGAAGTTCGTGGAATCAATCCCTATGCAAGCCACCTACAATTTTTCTTCCACCCAATTGTTTAATGGCTAATTTGTAGAGTGCGAGTGGTTCACTATTATCATGCTAAAGAAGATCCTCTTTTTTAATATTTAAGTATAAGTATATTACGTGCGCTTATGTCTACTTCCCCCTTCTTTGGTTGGCTTGGACCCATTTGGTAAACAGCTATATTAGCTGACAACGACAATCCAACTCATGAGTGAAGAATAATGAAATAAAGAAATCAAATCAAATCAATTCTAAGATGGTAGAACTATGTTAGTCCCCCAAATTTATCGAGGAAAATGCAATTTTTTCTTCTTAACTACATTTCTGTGGATTTGCAGACGATCCCTGCATTGACAACATGTGTATGAACGGAACGACATGTGTCCCAGACGCTGATGGCGGAAACTACACATGTACTTGTCCGGAGGGATTCACTGGTCCAATGTGTAATTTAGGTAAGTTCACATTTCACGTAAAACGCAATTGCATGCGCACTATAGGTGTAAAAAAAAAAAACACTCTGATTATTAGAGAACTCGAAAATTGATATTCTTATCACTTTGAAATTTGCTTATTTTGATGTTGAAGGGTATCAAATTCATTATATTACTGTAATATTGGAAACCTATACTCGTAAGCTTTAAAATTATTAGCTCCTCATAAATAGATATTAAATTGTTATGTGTAAAATCGTAACGTTATACTGTGTGACGGGGTAGCCTTACAAAGTGCACAGTATGTTCAAAAGAAAAATTTCCATTGTATTTTCCAATCTAGATAATTCTTTGCATTTGCAAACGATAAATCCTTAGAATGCATCTTTAAAATCTAGGTTTTAAGTATCAATAATCCGTTTCTTTTATTTACAATTTTTTTTAAATAATTTTCAAATGTTATCTATTGTGCAAACGTTAATTAACATATAAACATGAATGATCCAGCTTCCCTGCTTTTCATGTAAAACGATTTGTACAACACATATTTTGATAGCATTCATAAAGGCAAGGCATGCAAAAATAAATCTTGGAGTTTTTTTTTTAACTGTGTCCATGTTGTTGGAAATGCATTTCAAGTCCACATGTAAGTCGAGAATAAAAGAGTTAATCTCTTCTAGGGTTTGAATGTTTTGCATCTAAGTATCCAAGAAGAAGAAAAATCAACTACAAAAACGCCTCGAAATGCTTTCCCTATGCACTTGCTAGTAATAAAATATTATCTTTCATATCCCGTTGTCTATAGAAGTAGACCCTTGTCTAAGCAATGAATGTAGCAACAACGCAACGTGTGTGCCTGGAACTGGGGAAATAATGTACACCTGTACGTGCGCAGAAGGATTCACTGGGGCTCTCTGTGGTGAGTTCGCATTTTCTATTTTATTATAACCCAGTTATTCTGTCTCTTTTTGAACAACCGAATGTGTTTCAATATCAGCCAAACATGTCACCATACTAGGGCGGACACATACGCACAAATAGTGTGTCAGAGTGTATCATATAATGTGGCCATACTGTGTCCAGTGTGAAAATAGAGCAATCACAGTTAGTGTTACAAAGGTTAATCATGTGTTCACATTCCGTTCATTCTTGTTGGGAGGGCTTGACTGCAGCTTTCTTGTATCCTTTTCATTTTACTGTAAAAGAAGATGGGTTTAGCTGATATAGCGTATTGAGAGAGATAGCTGTGATACGCGTACACATATGTGATCATAGGCCAATTCATATAATGCTCCAAATAGTTCCTTCCCATAGAGATCGTATGTAGGAGGAATCGGTTTGAAGCTCCATGAATTGACCTTTAATCGCGTATGTGTGTAAATGTCACAACTATATTTCTCAGTACGCTATGGTTTGGCTGAGCCAAATGCTTAAGACAAGAAGAAGTGGAGGGAGGGATCGTCATCGTGGCGCAAAAGTCAGTACCCCCAAGTAAGAGGGAAAATTATGATTATGATGATGAAGTACGCCATCTAGTGTGTAATCAAGTATACCAACATTTAAAAGAAATATTGCGACGGGTCTGTCGTGTAATAAATATGATCGTCAATTATGTATTTAAATATGTTTTAGAAGGACAGAGAAATCTGCAACAATGGAACATCGCATTGTTTTGTATCAATAGGTTGCAATCGCCATCCATTGTCTCTTTCAATCTTCAAAAAGGAACTATCAAGCATTTGCTGGAAATTGATGTAATATAATACATTTAGAAATGATTAGGTGTAATAAAATATATTTTCTTCGCTCAGGATTGCTATTGTCTTCAACTTTCCCAATCGTTTGTTTCCGTCTGTTATGGGTTGTGTATCAAAACGTTAGACGCTAAAAGAAATAGTTACCCACTAAATAAAAACATGTTGTCGTTGTTTATCTTCAGATGTAGAAGAAGGAGGAGATGCAGTGACTACCCCAGCCGCTACAACAGCTCAAGGTTCAATTCTTACATACAACTTTCAACTCGCAGTCTCAGCTTTATGGCTTGTGGTTATCATAAACAAAGTGATCCTCGCTTGAGGCATGTAAAATACTGTTTAATATTCAATGTTTGAATAGTTCAAATTTCCATGATTTTTTTATCTTTTTTTTTTTTTTTTTTTTTTGGGGGGGGGGGGGGTGTTTCTTTTTACTGTTCATGAACCAACTAATGGTGAAACAGTAATGTAAGTAAACAACCCGTAAAGTGTTACACAAAGTAGATTTGCATCGATCGGTTCTCATCTTTAGAGCAGTCGTTAAATGTTAGCGAATAATATCTTATACATTTCCTCATTTGGTATCATTATTCATAACTAATTATTGAAACACTTCTGTTATATATTACCTATTTACTTCTAGATAATCTTTAAAGTTAACGGTTTGATTCGTCATACAATTTATCTTTTCCTTTCATTTTCGTATATTCAGTGTTACTCTTACTCATAGTGCGCTTTGCGCATTTGATTTTAAGTTAATTTGGCGCATTACAAATCTTATATTTATACTTCTATTATGAAAATACATGCTTTATTGTACATGTATTTGCCAAATTGATTTAGAAAGATGCATTAGCTGTAAATACACCATATTTCATCCTACGGATATGAGGTTAAATGGTGAGGTCCCGTGCGTAGGACACACTGCACTATTCATGACGAGACAAGTATGGAAAACCTCTGGTGTAAGCTAATGGACCAACTGCCCATACCAATGAGTTATGTCGGGAGAAGAGATCCATGGCCAAGGATTATGATAATTAAATTCTCCTTATAAGCCACATGTGACGCCGAACGACAAATACTTGATAACCTTTATAACTTTAACAAATACATGAACAACAACAACGCTAATGACAATAATAATAATTTTGAAAATTATGATAATAATGAGTATAGTTCATGATGACAATAATGATTATAATAATGATGATAATGATGATGATGAAAATGATGATTATAATGATAATGATGATAATAATAATGATAATGATTAAGATGATAATGATTAAGATGATGATGATGATTTTAAAAGAATAATGATAATAACGACTACAGCTCATGATGATGATGATGAGTATGATTATAATAATAATAATGATAATAACGACTACAATATTTCATGAGGATAATGATGATTGTAATGATGATGATAATAATAATGATGATGATAATGATGATAACAATAACATAAATGAAAATGATGGTAATACATGTAGTAATAACAATAACAAAACAATAATAAGTACTTATTTTCCTTTTAGAAATAGTGTCTTATTTGTTGATAGACGTGGAATTTCTTTCTTGAATAAATAACAGTCTTTAAACGAATACTTACCGATCTACCATTAGTACGTATTGATGTTGTTCCGTGTCTTTTCAATCCTCGACATTATAAAGGTGGCATGTTCTGATTCATGTAGGTAATAATATTCCTGTAAAGCGGTTAATAGAGACACCATGCAACCCAAAGTGAGACAGATCGAAAATTTAATAGAGAAAGAGAGCAAGAAAGAGGGAGATCTACAGAGAAGGCGACAGGGGCAAGGGCATTTTGAATAAAGGGGTGTCAGGGAATTGTTTCGACCTACATAGTCGTCATCTACGAAGTAATCACGGAAGTCACGTACCTATATCATCTCGTCTCCCTTTTAATCTGAACTTAACCAGCAGAGGAAATAAACATGACGTATCGTTCCAACAAGCAATACGAAATATATATACCTGTTCTATATTTGAAGATAAACGTTAATAATTTCTATAAACGTCATGGCCATTTTTCAATGCTCCATTATGCTTATTGATGGCCACGCCCCTTAAACAAAGAAGGTACCGACTACCGCAGACACCTTCCAGTATGATGTTGTCTTTGACACCTGTGTCCTCAGCCGAACGACTGTGATAATAAGGACGTGCCAAAGAACGAGAACAAATCTATTTCTATACTGCAGGAGGTCTGATTGCGGCGTAGCAAGATAGAAGGGTCGCATTGCAAGGTTCATATCATGTAGGAATCGGTATTTAAGACATGCCAATTCACAAGCTTGTAATTAAAATTGTAATACCTCAGTCACATCGAAGACACCGATGTCTGACCAAAAAAGCACCTATTAAAAAGGTGCATTACTACAATTCAGTGGCCAAGAATCGCTCGGAATAAAGTCGGCTTGGATTTGATTTTGCGCTGGGATCCTCATGATCGGGGTTTAAGAAGGTAATAGGTCCATGGTTTAAGATAATAACGTACACACATACACTGTACGCTCATAAACTTTAAGCCACATAATTTTCTTTGTTTAAACCATGTCTGCATTTTTTCAAATACAATAACTGAATAACAAAGAACATGTAAACGTAAGGTAATATGTTAACTGTAATAACTTCATGTCAAAATGTGATTTACATATATACATAAAATAGCATTATAAATTTATAAAATAATCCTAACTATGTGTGGAAAAGTACAGGAGCCCATCATCATAAGCGACGCCTGGTTAGGATAGCGGCCTCAAAAAAAAAATCTTACGGTGAAATTAAATATAAACGTGTTTATAGTTTCTATTATATTAATACCCTCTTGAAAACAGAAAGAGTAGGAGTCAAGAGAACATTGCCAGTCGTTAAAAGACTTAACAGATTTATATTCTAAATTCAAAATGAGCTGTGCGTAATATTTGGTAAGGTATCAACTGCACAATAAGCATAATATTAACAAAACACATTGTTAGATTTAATCTGATAGACAATCATTTACAACCTAGTACGGACGTCACGAAGAAGAGCTTTTGACTAAAACTAGTTGTATCCATCTTGACAAGAAAAGGAGGACACACGTAAAATAAAAGTGAGATTTATTGGAACCCTCCAAATAATATCATTGCTAAAAGGTGTAAAGGTAAACGTAATCCTATGGTCAACTAAAACTCTCCTAACACGTAAGATCACAATGAAAGTTAAAAAATGGTGCGATTGGTGGTTTTCATAATACACAACCCCAGTTATATACACTATAGCCAATATTAATATTTTCAATATAACTTGGTTAGTAAAAAGGAGGAGGAGGAGTTTCCCGGGCACTCTAAAAGACTGACACGCATCTATCAAGGGTACAACAACAATATACATGTTTATACAAGGGAAAGATGCTTCTTCAATATGAAGGTATACAGAAGCACAAACCAACGACAATGCTCATAGGCAGCTAGTAACTCTCGTATACAACTTAGACATGGCGCAGAGTAAAAGACGTATCGCCATTGTAAATGGTGTTTTTCTCGCGTTTTTGTGGAATTGTAATGTCGTCTTGGTTGAGGCTCGATCCTCTGGAGCACCCGTGGCATCGAACCCCGATGTGTGTACTACAATGACACCAGGCCATGGTATACCACCTTCTGTGACTTCAAGCCCGTACGCCATCAGTGTCAACAGTAATACCTATTCATCATCACAGACACTGACAGGTTAGTCGTGACAGATATTATTATCTTTTACTAAATTTCGATTAAAAAATATACTAAAGTATGAATAAAATATTATGACTTAAAACAATATAGTTAATAAATGGGGCTTCTGATTATTCATAATGAATACGGCGGAAATTTGCGTGAGAGAGAGAGAAAGAGATAGCACTAGAGAGAGAGAGATAGAGAGAGAGAGAGAACAAGTCGAAGTAAATGAATGATTTTGTGAAAGTATAACAAGTTCAATTTTTAACCTTTAAAACTTCAACAGCAAATGAAGATCTTTATTCGAAAAGCATAACAAATGCTAAAATGCTTGAATAAGGATTCCGGATATATGTGGTACATGCTTTGGTTGTTGAAAATGTGGATGAAAGATACTATGTCCCATTTTCAGGTCAAAAATGAATAAGTTAAATTCCAACGGCATTTGAAAGATAACACTAATTAAGAACTTCGCTCGAAAATGTCTTTAAGTGAGAAAATTATAACCATTATCTGTCGAATCGATTTTAGTGATTGCAATCACTAAAGTAATAGACTGATTTTTAGACGCTTGTACCGAATGGTCGTACTTTGTGTGCTGCGCAAAGATTCAATCAGTTTAATTTTGGTCATTACAAGAATTGGGTTACTGATTTAAACAAATGCTCATGTACCCTTTACAGCTCATTTTATGTATGGTAATACAACAACAAAAGTTCCCAGTCACTCAATAGTGTCTGCCAGTGAAGTCTAGAAAGTAAACGGGTTTCCTTGCATAATTTGAATATCAGGACACTGCTAACGTTTAAATTTCACAGATAGGACAAACGTGACATGTTCATAATTCCTGCAAATTTCTACAGAATTTGATGTTGGCTGCAAATGGGACATAGTACCTTTAAGCCCCACTGCAGTACTTATAGCTACTTGCGCCCTCTAAATAGAAAACAATGCTTAATCGGTGACCATTGGTCCCCCATGCTCCCCTTTTACTTATGTTACTTGAGAGCTGTTTTGATGAGAAAGCACATGTCAGTGACCATGCAGGGAGGTCTAATCCCTCCTGGCCAAACAAGTACAGATAGACTTTAAAGCGAACAATACGTAGATAAAATGTTAGATGGTGAGAATGTACATGTACATATTATCGATAATAAGGTAATGTCATTATAAGCTAATCAAGAATTTAAAAAAAAAGCATTTTAGCCATACAATAAGCAGCTTCCTCATTTCTAAAGCAAGGGATTTAAAAATTTAAAAAAACGATGATTAGTCGTCGATTAATTTCATTTGAACTATTTACCAAAAAAGTTATTAAAAAATATATATATATCAAAATTCAAAAATCAAAAACGATTTTCATATTGATTACATTGATTATAGTCACTATCAATACAAGCCCTGGTGCTGGACAGTATAAGGGGATACTTCTCCTAGCACGTAGAGTGGACACCAACGATGTCATCGGTTCTTGGTCAGCCACGGACGCGACCAACTTCCAGACAGTCTCCTGTGGCCAAACGGACGGTGCTGTCACTCATCGGAACAGACTGGACAAGGCATCGACGACTTCCTTTCTTTGGACTGCACCAACTCTTGGTAATGGTGACGTGTACATCGCGTAAGTATTGCCTAAAAGTGTGGGAGAAAGTGCAACAAATGTTATCATTGCTATCCTATACATTACCGACAGAAAAGAATGATGAACAACAAAAAATCAACGTCTAGAGTGTTATTATCTTTGTTATTTGAAGTTTGAAGTTTTATTTATTCCACATTTTAATTTGATAGAATCTTCTGACATGTCAAAAATGTTGATGTAGTTGGTCAAGTATGGGACAACATATTGGACTTGCCCTTGTGACTTGTGAATGATTGCACCCCAAATACGATGCTATTGAACGTGGCTTCATTAAGGGGAAAGTCTGTAATTTGTCTTGTTATTTGATCCGACTTGGTAGAATCGTCTGACATGTAACATATAATTTGGATGTTGTCTGTACAACGAATGGCGAAAAATATCTTGGACTTGTCCTTTTTGATTGTGAATTATTGCACCTGCAAATAGGATGCAGTTGAACGTTGCCTCAAAAAGGGAAAAACCCGATTTTCTCTTTCTCTGTCTTTTTACTAATCTCCTCCAGTCTCTCTCTCTCTCTCTGTTACCATCTGTCTCTGTTTGCGTGTGTTTATGTGTGTGTGTGTGTGTCTCTCTCTCTCAGTATTGTGTGAACATATTTTTTGGCTCTACACACTTCATCACACCTCTAACAAAGAAAGGGAAATTCTTAATGTGAAACGTTTGATGCTGGTGATGATGTATTAACATCAGTGGTCATCTATGTTTATTAAAATACAACTACTCATATTTGCTTTTCTTAACTAATAAGACATTTCATAAACTACTTTTCAATGCATTTTCTTTTAAAGAATGAAATTTGATCTACGAGGATTTACATGAACTAACTGAATCAATCATGAAATATTTCTCTAAATAAATCTTTTTATCTCTTTATAAACCGTTGCCCATAGAAATCCGAATATTATCATGACGTGATTGTAGCAATAATATTTATACTAAAGAATAATGAATAAAATTCTAATAAGATATAAACTTTACCAAGAATAAACCATGTCGTCACAATTATTTCAAGAAAACATGCATTTATTCCCACTTTATGGGCAACAGTGTATATCGTTTCAAAATATATTTTTGCTTGTGTTAACAGAGCAACCTTTGTTAGAGATTACAGCGTTTTCTGGGTAAATGTGACATCATCTCTTATTCAAGGTGAGTATATGGTTTGCTTTAGTGGCGGATACAGGATTCTCTGGCAGAAGAGTCGAGCAAGTCCGAAAATCTTTTACGAGGGGGAAAAAAAAAAAAAAAAAAAAAAAAAGGATCATCAGCACATGATTCGTCTTTTCTTTATCCCCTCTTTTAATCTTCGGGGGGGGGGGACACGTGCTCACTGACCCTGGATCCGCCACTGTCTCCACTGATATCATTAGAAGCTGTATTAATATTTTGAATTCCTAATTACAGGGTGATTTTCTTAAATTAAACATAAAAACCGCCATCGAGACAGAATCTCTTTGCTTGGTAATATATACTAAGGCCTACTCTTCTTCCCTTACAATAATGACATGGGTTATATTGTTTCTTTATTTTTTTAAGATAAATACTCTGGCATGTCGATTTTACTATAAACTTAGCAATAATATTGAAACGGTGTAATTCCTTTATTAACATCGCTTTGATCTTACATGAGTGTGAAAGGCCTTCAGTGAGAAAATCGTTTCTCGTTCTAAATTCACCAGTTAGATATTTACTTTAGACTGAGCATATACAGCAACCCAGTTTCGGGTGAACGAAGTTTTGTAAAAAAAAAAAAGCATATCAATTGCGAAACAATGTAACTACGTTTATGCACCTGCTGAGAATAAGTTTTATTGAAACACCCGCCCCCCCCCCATGAAAATAATAATAATAACAATAAATTGTTTAAAAATTTAATAAATTATGAAGTGCTCATTATACAGAGGTGCAAAGGTTGTATAGTACAGTAGTGATTTCGTATTGAAACTTGGAGGTCCTAGTTGGAAAGCAAGTCCACGAGCCAGTGCCATTTGATAAGGCATTTTTCCTCATCACAAAGTCCCTCGGAGAGGATTTAAAGCCGTCGATCACCTGGTTGATTACACTTACAACCAAATGTACACATGCCTTTACAGCATTTACGTAAAACAAACCAACGAACCTTGCAACCATACCACATACATTTTTACCTTTTTGTCATCAGCTTTTGACCCGTGTGCTAGTAACCAATGTCAAAATGGAGGAGTCTGTCAACCTTCTACGGGTTCCATTCCTCCTTACATCTGTGGCTGTCCACCTGGATTTAACGGCCAGTTCTGTCAGACAAGTATAACAGGCATGTTACATTCACCTTCACCACATTTGATTGTCCCTATCGCATACAAGTGCGAACGACTATATCTTGAAGAAGTATAATGTATATCGGGTTTTACTAGTATTTTATTTCATCACCCTGACTACTCCACTCCCAAAACGAATGTAACTGTTAGAGATGACCCTGCCCTACCTTTCGTACATAGGTCTAAGAATGAGTCAACCCCCGCATCCACTATTTTCATGATAATGGCGATGGCTGGTTTTGTTATCTTTTCTCTTTTGGGTGGTGTTGTTAAGTTTTTTGTTGTTGCTTGTCTCCAACTTTAGGAATACTGTGCTTTCCTGGATACGCCTCGGTTGGAATGTACAAATAACTCTGAATACCATTTATTGTCTTCTCTTTGATTTTTGTTAAGATAATGTTATTTGTGAATACCCAACGAAATGGGAAATCAGTAGTAAAATCAGTTTTAGCCGAATGGCAAAATAAATGTTGTCTAACCTTTTGGCGTATTTTTTATATTACATTAAGTGCATTAATTATTTGAATAGGAAAAACAATTCTGTATACATTTAAAGAAAACACCATTGCTTTTTGGTATAATCGCATCTTCACATCACTTTAATTTTCAGATCCATGTGCTAGTAGCCAATGTCAGAACGGGGGAACTTGTAACCCTACTCCGGGACCAAGTCTTCCCTACACGTGTAACTGTCTAGCTGGGTATACCGGCATATTCTGTCAAACAGGTATGATATCATGAGTATCATATCCATCCATCATTTTTGTCTACGTCCATGTATATTTTTAAAACACTAGCGGATAGAGGTACCCAAGTGGTATACGTTTCGTATAGAGGCCAAATAAACGAGCCCGCCACCCCATTCTCGATGGCCTTTTTTTCTTTAATTTTTTTTAAAATTTGTTGTTGTTGTCGTTGTTGTTGCATGTCAACAAATATTAGGATAGGAATATTGTATTCTCTCTTATAATATCCTGCGTCAGCCTCTGGTTGAATTTACAAATAAATCTGAATTTCATTTAATGTCTCTTTTTTTATTTTTTTATTTAAAAAAAAAAGTTATTTGTGAATAGACATTTGCATGAGAAATCCGTTATAATATGTTGATTCTGCCGAAAGGCAGAATCAATATCGACCAATCGGTTGACGTATTCGTTTTAATGTATATTAATTGTATCGGATATAGTGCTTTTGTCATCTGCATCAAATCATGACGTCCATAAAAAAACATTTTGGATTGAGGCGTATAAATATAGTAAAACAAAAACATTGCTTTTTTGGTATAATCACATCTTCACACCATTCTAATTTTCAGATCCATGTGCTAACAACCAATGTCAGAACGGAGGACTTTGTAATCTATCTCCGGGACCAAGTCTTCCCTATACCTGTAACTGTCCGGTTGGATTTACCGGCATATTATGTCAAACAGGTATGATATCATAAGTTTAATGTCCGTTGTCTGTTTATATATGTAGATTTATATATTTCCCTTGCGTAAATAGGTCCAAGAATGAGTTAACCCTCGCATCCACTATTTTCATGATTAAGGTGATGGCCGGTTTTGTTATCTTTTCTCTTTTGGGTGCTGTGTGGGGCTGTGGGCAGTGTTGCTGTTGTTTTTTTTGTTTTTTTTTTTTTACTTCTCAACAAACTTTTAGGAATACTGTGCTCCCTCTTATCTAATATCTTGGATACGTCTCGGTTGGAATGTTCAAAGTAACTTGAATTCCATTTAATGTATCTTCTTTGTTTTGTGTTAGGAAAATGTATTTGTCAATGGGAAATCAGTTATAATATCGCTTTCTGCCAAAGGGGGGAATCAATATTGTCTAATCTGTTAACGCATCGTGTATATTACATTAATTTTATTAAGTAATGGAATGGGAAAATCAATATCCGTAAAGCTTCATAAAGATTCAGACAATAAAGTGAGTGAAATATGACCTCGAACTTTTTCACCCGAAATTGAACAAAGAACTGTTAATTTTGAAGAAAGATTTTTTTAACGAACTATCATGACGTCCATGATATAACTTTATAGAGTTAGGCGTATACTTAGAAAGAACATTCGATTTTGGTATCATCGTATCGTCACACCATCTTCAGGTACGGATCCATGTGCGATTAGCCAATGTCAGAACGGAGGACTTTGTAATCCTACTCCGGGACCAAGTCTTCCCTACACGTGTAACTGTCTAGCTGGGTATACCGGCGTACTCTGTCAAACAGGTATGACTCTTTTTATTATCACCCCATGTGATTTTTATCTTTACAAAGGTACTTAATACACTTCAATTATATGATTAAATTAGCAATTTATTAAAACTTGGGTTACCTTGAACCTCAATACTAATACGTTCCCTGACACATGTGCACCTCCATCGAACCGACATGCAAGTTGGTATAACCCTTCATTGCTGACGGATGAGACGTCTCTTTAATCGTCTGTGTGCTCGCAATAATTTGCAAATAATGTCTACATCTTTTATTACCAGCTTCGGATCTCTGTGCTAACAACCAGTGTCAGAACGTAGAATCTTGCAGTCCTATGCCGGGTTTCAACCCTCCATACTTCTGTAATTGTCAACCTGGGTATCAAGGGCAGTTCTGCCAAATAGGTATGTTTCTTCCTATATTTCAATCGTCCTTCTGAGGATAAATATCACATACATTTTCTTGTATGCGTCACCTTTTTTGTTGTTGCTTAACGTCAAAAATTTAACAAAATGATATACATAGAAGAGTACCAAACATTTCAGAATAATGCCACCTGAACCTTCTACCTCCCATTGAACTTTTCAGACATCACAGTAAACCGAAAGCCCACCTGACCGACAATGTCGGTCACAGGGGTCGTCTGTTTCGCGGGCTTACGGTCTAGTGCGCTGTGACCGTAACGTTGCTCTGCATTTGTCAAAGGCTACATGCAAGATAGACGATACATTTCAATGTATTTCGACTGTCGTAAAGAGTTTCGAACCCCATATACATAAATATTTTACCCATGTTTCATTCTTTATCATTTTATTTTTTTATACATTTTTGGGTCGCACGTACATTTCGTCTAGCTTCTTAATTATGCATCGTGTATCTCATATTTACCTCCGTTTGGGACCAAGTAGACCATGACAGTCGACGGGACCTAGGTTGTTGGCCATGGGCTGTCGATCTTGAGGGCGTCCGGTCTCATGTACCAACAGTCTCTAAGGCTGCAGAACGCTAACATTTCAATATATTGTGACTGACGTATGACTCTATGATTATGTTATTCATTGTTCCTTTCATAACACGTTTTTTTAAATGACACACTTGGTCGCAATTTAATATATAAATTTCTTCTAGCTTTAGATTCATGCGCTAGTAGCCAATGTCAGAACGGAGGAACTTGCAATCCTTCTCCGGGACCCAGTCTACCCTACACATGTAACTGTCTGTCTGGGTATACCGGCACTCTCTGCCAAACAGGTATGACTTATTTATTATCAGCTTTATGTGATTTTTAATACACTTCAATTATATTATTCAATTAGCAATTTGTTGAAACTTAGATCACCTTGAGCTTCGATACTATTACGTTTCCTGACACATGAGCACTCTATCGAACAGAAATGCAAGTTGGTATAACCCTTTCATTGCTGATGAAAAGTCTCTTTAACATCTTCGTCTGTGTGCTCACAATCATTTTCAAATAATGTCTACATCTTGTCTTACCAGCTTCGGATCTCTGTGCTAACAACCAGTGTCAGAACGTAGAATCTTGCAGTCCTATGCCGGGTTTCAACCCTCCATACTTCTGTAATTGTCAACCTGGGTATCAAGGACAGTTCTGCCAAATAGGTTTGTTTCTTCCTATATTTCAATCGTCCTTCTGAAGATAAATATCACACACATTTTCTTGTATGTGTCTCCTTTTTTGTTGTTGCTTAACGTCAAAAGATTAACAAAATGATATACATATAAGGGTACCAAACATTTCAGAATAATGCCGCCTGAACCTTCTACCTCCTATAGAACTTTTCAAACATCCCAGTAAACCGAAAGCCCACCTGACCCAAAAATGTCGGTCATAAGGGTCGTCTGTTTCGCGGGCTTGCGTTCTCGTGGGCTGTGGCCGGAATGTTGCTCTGCATTTGTCAAAGGCTACATGCAGTAAGATAGACGATGTAGGCCCTACTTACCGTCCAAATTTCAATGTATTTCGACTGACGTAAAGAGTTTTAAACCCCATACATACATATTTTACCCATGTTTCATCATTTATCGTTTTATTTTTAATACATTTTTTGGTAGCATTTACATATATTTCGTCTATAGTTTTCTTAATTATGCACCGTGTATCTACCTCCGTTTGCGACATCCAAGTAGACCACGACAGCCGACAAGACCTAAATTGTTAGTCATGGGCTATCGGTCTTGTGGGCTTTCAGGTCCATGTACCGTCAGTCTCTAAGGCTGCAGAACGCTAACATTTCAATATATTATGACTGACGTAATGACTTTATGAATGTGTTATTCATGTTTCCTTCTTTAATACGTTTTTTTATAAAGACACATTTGGTCGCAATTATATAAATTTCTTCTAGCTTTAGATTCATGTGCAAGTAGCCAATGTCAGAACGGAGGAACTTGTAATCCTTCTCCGGGACCCAGTCTTCCCTACACGTGTAACTGTCTAACTGGGTATACCGGCATTCTCTGCCAAACAGGTATGACTTATTTATTATCAGCTTTATGTGATTTTTAATACACTTCAATTATATTATTCAATTAGCAATTTTTTGAAACTTGGATCACCTTGACCTTCGATACTATTACGTTTCCTGACACATGAGCACTCTATCGAACAGAAATGCAAGTAGGTATAACCCTTCATTGCTGATGAGACGTCTCCTTTAACATCTTCGTCTGTGTGCTCACAATCATTTTCAAATAATGTCTACATCTTGTCTTACCAGCTTCGGATCTCTGTGCTAACAACCAGTGTCAGAACGTAGAATCTTGCAGTCCTATGCCGGGTTTCAACCCTCCATACTTCTGTAATTGTCAACCTGGGTATCAAGGACAGTTCTGCCAAATAGGTTTGTTTCTTCCTATATTTCAATCGTCCTTCTGAGGATAAATATCACACACATTTTCTTGTATGTGTCTCCTTTTGTGTTGTTGCTTAACGTCAAAAGATTAACAAAATGATATACATATAAGGGTACCAAACATTTCAGAATAATGCCACCTGAACCTCCTACCTCCTATAGAACATTTCAAACATCCCAGTAAACCGAAAACCCACCTGACCGAAAAATGTCGGTCATAAGGGTCGTCTGTTTCGCGGGCTTACGGTCTCGTGGGCTGTGGCCGGAACGTTGCTCTGCATTTGTCAAAGGCTACATGCCGAAAGATAGACGATGAAGGCCCTATTTACCATCCACATTTCAATGTATTTCGACTGTCGTAAAGAGATTCAAACCCCATATACATAAATATTTAACCCATGTTTCATTCTTTATATTTTTTTTTATTATACATTTTTGGGTCGCACGTACTTTTCGTCTAGCTTCTTAATTATGCATCGTGTATCTCATATTTACCTCCATTTGGGGCATCCAAGTAGACCACGACAGTCGACGGGACCTTAATTGTTGGTCATGGGCTGTCGGTCCTGTGGGCTTTCAGGACCATGTACCGTCAGTCTCTAAGGCTGCAGAACGCTAACATGTCAATATATTATGACTGACGTAATGACTTTATGAATGTGTTATTCATGTTTCCTTCTATAATACCTTTTTTATAAAGACACATTTGGTCGCAATTATACAAATTTCTTCTAGCTTTAGATTCATGTGCAAGTAGCCAATGTCAGAACGGAGGAACTTGCAATCCTTCTCCGGGACCCAGTCTTCCCTACACGTGTAACTGTCTAGCCGGGTATACCGGCGTACTCTGTCAAACAGGTATACCTTTTATTCGTACTCAGCATCGTTTCATAAAAATGCCGTTTCCCTCATTCCGCACAACCTTATTCTAGTATTTTAATTCCAATTTAAGTCAATACTATCGTTATCATGTGAATGATACTTCTATATAAGGGCATACAGATATAGATCATATTGGTCTAGAGCGTCTTTTTATAAGCACTGACGATTCGCACAATATATAAAACCCTTTACAATCATAATGCTAAATCGATTTTTTATTTTTTTTCTTCTTCAAAGAGTCAGTCTTTCAAAAGAATGAATAGTGAGCCAAATCTTTAATAATTAAACTTTACAATTTCAGTTGTAATTGCATTTCTATGACATCTTTAGTTTTCTTATAACAGTAATAGATTTATTATAGCCATGTCAGGTTGAACAGCAATTTTACGTTGAAAGGCAGTGCATCGACTCTGTTGCTTTTTAACTTATTTATTTCGGGTATATACTTCCAGCTGTGGATCTCTGTGCCAATAACCAGTGTCAGAACGGAGGATCTTGCAGTCCTTTCCAAGGTTCCAACCCTCCATACATCTGCAGTTGCCCATTGGGATTTGGTGGACAGTTCTGCCAATCAGGTTTGTTTCTTCATATTTCATAATATGAAAGAGGATGTCATTTAAGACTTATTTCAGCAAGGATTTTCAAAACAAATGTATTATAAGTCGAATAATGATGAAAACCTACGAAATTTAGGCTTTCTGCATGCGTACAACAGAAAACTCAATTGCAAAAAATATTCCATCTTAATGGGCAACATTGTAATTAAATTAAATTTCTCTTTTGTTTGCTTTATCTTTTCACATAAATCATTTAAGTCGTGAATCCATGTACTGGTAGCCCATGTCAGAACGGAGGAACTTGTAATCCTACTCCGGGACCCAGTCTTCCCTACACGTGTAACTGTCTATCTGGGTATACCGGCGTACTCTGTCAAACAGGTATGCCTTTCAGATTTGAATCCATGAATCAAATGATTGTTGGACCTTTTAAAAGGATCATTATACATCATGTGTTACAACGCTGGTATGTGAGTTTATTTCAGACTTTACCGTTGTTGCTATTTTTTAGAGGTTATAGAAAACACTGACTGTTCTTGTTCACGTTGTTATATTAATTTCTTTGTTAGTGGATTTTTTTTTTAATTATCTGCTTACGGTGAAAGTTGTAAGTGCTTTGTAACTACAAAGAAAAGACGCTATAGCCATATCTGTTGATTGGATTGGAATTGATAAACACGCTTATAATTATAGTGCATGTATTTGTTAAACTTATGGATCTACAAACTGCAATTGCATGTTCAGAATTGAAGACATATTACATTTGCAGACGCTACTTTAAAAACAGATTTAGTGTATGAGCTCACAATAGTATAGTCATTCAAATCTCCTTTGCTTTCCTTTCTCAGCTCTGGATCTATGTACTGATAACCAGTGTCAGAACGGAGGATCTTGCGGTCCTTTCCCTGGTTCCAACCCTCCATATTTCTGTGCTTGCCAACCTGAGTATACCGGCCAGTTCTGTCAAACAGGTGTGATATTTGAAAATTATAAGCATGTTAATGAAGGGTAGAATTTATAAAACATTTTACAAAAGGTTTCAAGAGCTGGGAAGCAACTACGTCATTGATATAGTATTATACGATTAAAATTAAGGTTATATGATTCAAATTTGCAAATATTCAAAAACATCAAATTTATCGAACTTGTACCGTGACCGCTATCTATACTGAAAAAACGGGATTGCTATATGTTATTTTTTTTCTCGCGTAGATGGTCTTTTTAAAGTGGATTATTATTGAGTGGCCCGTATATTGCAATCAATTTTCCTGAATATTATGAAACGCTATGATTAACCCGTAGTGCAAGCTCGGAATGGACGACATATCACCTTTGCAGACGTCACTTTTTCAACAACTATATAGGTTGTGTTCTCACCATCATTTTCAATTCTTTTTACGTTCTATCTTCTATTACCAGCTCTGGATCTCTGTGCCAATAACCAGTGTCAGAACGGAGGATCTTGCAGTCCATTTCCAGGTTCCAACCCACCATACTTCTGTAATTGTCAGCCTGGGTATACCGGCCAGTTCTGCCAAACAGGTTTGCTTCTTCAAAATTTGACCCAATTAGAGATAGCTTTCGCAAAATTAAACAAATGCGTAAAAATTAAATAATAAGCGTATCGAATTTAAAGGCATTATTTCCTTCCTTCATCGAAGACTTAAATATCTTGAATATAAAGAATCATCCTTAAACATCATATTTTCAGGAAAATACGTGATATGTATTTCTAAAGCAGTCAAAATACTTTTTTTTTTCATAAACAACATGGCTCGATCTGTTAAGGCATTTGTCGCACAGAGCCAGAGACCCGACTTTGATTCCAGGCGTTATTTCTGCGAAAAGGAAGGCAGAAAGCAGGAGCAATGAATTTAAAGCTATGCATATAATATTTCCCTCATCCAATCTATGTTTCCACATCATATACGTGTGCGTGTATGTGCGTATGTTTGTGTGTAATAGTTTATATCATGAATATCAATTTGCTTGATTTAATCTATACCCTCTTCTCATGTAAATCATCTCAGGTACTGATCTGTGTGGTAATAACCAATGTCAGAATGGAGGAACTTGTAACCCTTTTCCGGGATCCGATCCTCCCTACACTTGTAACTGTCTATCTGGGTATACCGGCCAGTTCTGTCAAACAGGTACTTTTATCACGATTAATCTACATGATTATAATGAACATCGGTCAGATATCTGTATGGAGATTCATTTATGCATACTGAAAATCTTTTATGTTAAGAAATCTTGAAGCAATTTCCTTTAGTTGAAATAAGCTTCTTTAAAATATTTCCCTTTAAACTCTTTGATATACAAAAAATGAAGGGTTTATTAAGAGTTTGAAAGAATCTGTATTATATCCATGTGATCAGTTCTGTGCTGTCTCATTTCGAGACACATACAAAACAGCTCAGTAGAAAACTGTTACTTTATCAGTAGGTTAGTAGAATTAGGATATAGTTGTATTAACGTGATATAACATGATCCTAAATAATTGCAATAGATCAACCAAGTGCAATATTGCAATCCTATTGTATAGCCTATATAAATCATGTTCGGTCATGTAATATGGTATTGAAAAGATTCAAATGACGGACAAGGCTATGGTGTCTTGAATGGTCTTTGGGATCGTTGTTTATGACTACGTGAAAATAACTTTTCTTGACTTTACTTTTATCTCGTCATTTACTTATCTCTTCTATCTACAGATCCATGTGCTAGTAGCCCATGTCAGAACGGGGGAACCTGTAACCCTTCTTCGGAACCAAGTCTTCCCTTCACATGTAACTGCCAAGTTGGGTACACAGGCCAGCTGTGTCAATCAGGTCGGATATCGGTTCTACCACATTCACTCCGGGGTGAAGGGTTAGGGTTGGAAGTGCAATCGGGTTAAAGGATAGGATAAGGGTTAGCGTTAGGCTTAGGTATATAGTGTTGGGTCAAGGCTTGAAGTTAGGAACTCGGTTTGTTTATGGATTTACCGCGTTAGCCGGATTATAACTATGGTGTTGGGTCCTGGGTTGGGTCGACTTATCTACTCTTAAGTCCTTTTGGGGCAATTGAGAGTGTGTTTGAAATTGCAATATCTTTGTATAGAAATAAAATAGGATCTCTTCTCTACAATTAAGCATACAGAGCAATTTTGTGGCCCACAAAATCGACCCCTACTGGGGGTCGATTAGTACACTTTATATATAGCCTGCACCTCACGATTACTTCTATCACATGTTCACGCTTATCTTCAGCCATACCGTCGTGAAATTTAAAGATAAACCACTCAAAATCGCGATTTCATAATGAAAGCCGTTTCATCGATGAAAGACAGTAATTATAACTGTATTTTTTACAATGAAAAAAAAAACCCTGAGTTGTGACTGATAATCATACTACTTTTCATCCATTACTATTTTTAGATCTATGCGCTGATAACCAGTGTCAGAACGGAGGATTTTGCATTCCTTTCCCAGGTTCCAGCCCTCCATACTTCTGTAACTGTCCAGGAGGGTATAACGGTCAATTCTGTCAAACAGGTAATATAAATGTCGCCACATTGCATTCTATTACAATATCAATATTCAGCCAACTGAACCATTATAATTAAGACAGTTTACAACAGAAAATCATTTCTTGATATCAAAAAATAGGAATAAATGTTAAAACGGTTTGCCACGGACACGCATGATAAGTGGACGTTCATGCCGTTCTCGTCCACTCAATCTAAAAGTCCGTAATATTGCTGCTACAAGGATTTGAAGCCTGTACCTTGTGGCTCATATAGTCCGAAGACTGGACCACAACGCCCCTACATTCATTTCTGTATGGATATAAGAATACCACGCACATCCCTTTCTATACTATCTACCACCTGGTTATAGCGGCCAATACTGCCAAACAGGTTTGCTCCTTCATACTTCAATATAGTGATTCAATAGCAGATTTTCATCATGGATCTGTTCAGAAATACCACACACACGACCACACGCGCACCCACACACGCACTCACACACACACACACCCACACACACAAACACACAAACATTATCATCATCTCCTGCATCTATCACTCTGACTCCAAAAATATACTGTAATAACTTTTATTTGATGATGAAACAGAGACACTGTGATTTAAATCACTTTTTCAATACCGTACGTACGACACCATGCATAGCAAAGGATTCATGATAGGTGGCACATTAGTCATGAAATCCAGGTGTTGGATTTTGTTTTTCTAGTTCTATCGAACTTCTAGTGAAACTCGTTTAATATGGAGAAGAAAAGTTTTTAAAAAAAATTATTTTCGAATCATTTTAATTCAGGCCAATCAGAGATAGCAAAAAAATGAAATATGTTCACGATATTGAGTACGTACATGTGTGTGTCAAGGGATGTAGACCTACTTTAATTTGAATACACAGACTTAACCCTCTAAACAGCAGAATAATAAATTCATTTATATAAACGTTACGAATTACGAATGTTAATTTATTGAATTTAAAGCCCCACTGTCCTACTTTAAACTCTTTAATATAAAACAAATTAAGGGTTTATTAAGAGTTTGAAAGAACCCGTACAATATCCATGTGATCAGTTTTGTGCTGTCTCATTTCGAGACACATACAAAACAGCTCAGTAGAGAAATATTACTTTATCAGATAAAAACCAATAGGTTAATAGAAAGTATTAACATGATATAACATAATCCTAAATAATTGCAATAGATCAACTAAGTGCAATATCGCTTCCATATTACATAGCCTATATAAATCATGTTCCAAATATAATATGCTATTAAAAAGTTAGCACATTTCAAATGACGGACAAGGCTATGATGTCTTGAATGGTCTATGGGATCGTTGTTTATGATTACGTGAAAATAACTTTCCTTGGTTTAACTTCTATTTCGTCGTTTACTTAACTCTTCCAGCTTTAGATCCATGTGCCAGTAGCCCATGTCAGAACGGGGGAACCTGTAATTCTCCGGGACCAAGTCTTCCCTTCACCTGTAACTGCCCAGTCGGATACACAGGCCAGCTGTGTCAATCAGGTCGGATATCTCAATCACTTGAATTCAGGTCAATCAGAGATAGCGAAAAAATGAAATATGTTCACGTTGTTGAGTACGTACATGTGTGTGTCAAGGGATGGAGACCTACTTTAATTTGAATACACAGATTTCACCCTCTAAACAGCAGAATAATAAATTCATTTATATAAATGTTACGAATTACGAATGTTAATTTATTGAATTTAAAGCCCCACTGTCCTACTTTAAACTCTTTAATATAAAACAAATTAAGGGTTTATTAAGAGTTTGAAAGAACCCTTACAATATCCATGTGATCAGTTTTGTGCTGTCTCATTTCGAGACACATACAAAACAGCTCAGTAGAAAAATATTACTTTATCGGATGAAAACCAATAGGTTAATAGAAAGTATGAACATGATATAACATAATCCTAAATAATTGCAATAGATCAACTAAGTGCAATATCGCTTCCATATTACATAGCCTATATAAATCATGTTCCAAATATAATATGCTATTAAAAAGTTAGCACATTTCAAATGACGGACAAGGCTATGATGTCTTGAATGGTCTATGGGATCGTTGTTTATGATTACGTGAAAATAACTTTCCTTGGTTTAACTTCTATTTCGTCGTTTACTTAACTCTTCCAGCTTTAGATCCATGTGCCAGTAGCCCATGTCAAAACGGGGGAACTTGTAATTCTCCGGGACCAAGTCTTCCCTTCACCTGTAACTGCCCAGTCGGGTACACAGGCCAGCTGTGTCAATCAGGTCGGATATCTCAATCACTTGAATTCAGGTCAATCAGAGATAGCGAAAAAATGAAATATGTTCACGTTGTTGAGTACGTACATGTGTGTGTCAAGGGATGTAGACCTACTTTAATTTGAATACACAGATTTCACCCTCTAAACAGCAGAATAATAAATTCATTTATATAAATGTTACGAATTACGAATGTTAATTTATTGAATTTAAAGCCCCACTGTCCTACTTTAAACTCTTTAATATAAAACAAATTAAGGGTTTATTAAGAGTTTGAAAGAACCCGTACAATATCCATGTGACCAGTTTTGTGCTGTCTCATTTCGAGACACATTCAAAACAGCTCAGTAGAAAAATATTACTTTATCAGATGAAAACCAATAGGTTAATAGAAAGTATTAACATGATATAACATAATCCTAAATAATTGCAATAGATCAACCAAGTGCAATATCGCTACCCTATTACATAGCCTATGTAAATCATGTTCCGATTATATAATATGCTATTAAAAAGTTAGCACATTTCAAATAACGGACAAGGCTATGATGTCTTGAATAGTCTGTGGGATCGTTGTTTATGATTACGTGAAAATAACTTTCCTTGGTTTAACTTCTATTTCGTCGTTTACTTAACTCTTCCAGCTTTAGATCCATGTGCCAGTAGCCCATGTCAGAACGGGGGAACCTGTAATTCTCCGGGACCAAGTCTTCCCTTCACCTGTAACTGCCCAGTCGGGTACACGGGCCAGCTGTGTCAATCAGGTTGGATATCTCAATCACTTGAATTCATGACAATCAGAGATAGCGAAAAAATGAAATATGTTCACGTTGTTGAGTACGTACATGTGTGTGTCAAGGGATGTCGACCTACTTTAATTTGAATACACAGACTTCACCCTCTAAACAGCAGAATAATAAATTCATTTATATAAATATAAACTCACAGAGTTTCCACTATTTTGCCCCAAACAAATACAATTGCATCTTTATTTATGTGTTAAAGCAGCAACGTCATCAGATATTTTATAGCTCAAAGTCAAACCAAACATGTCAAAAAGTATAGTTTTTCATTGCCTAGATTATCAATCCTAGGTTAAGGATTTGAATTCCAGCCCGTAACTGAAATGCTTTGGCGAGACATTAATCCACATTCGCCTCTCTATATCCATGTGTAAATGGGTACCTGGCAGCTACTGGGGTAAAAATGATTGCAGCACGGTCCTCGGGAAGGGCTGCATTGAGGCTGATAAGACGTCCCTGGGTATAAAAACAAACTTCGTATTTATTATCAATATTTTGGTATTACTTTTATTATCATTATTATCATTAATATCGTTACCATTTTATTTGTTTTGAATTATCAGCTGTGGACCAGTGTTTAAGTAACCCATGTCAGAATGGTGGCTCCTGTCAGTCTTCTCCAAGTGAAAACCCTCCTTTCTCCTGCGATTGTTCATCTGGGTATACCGGCCAATTCTGTGAAACAAATCCGATTACAATAGGTATGTCCTAATTCACTTTGATCTCACCCCCCCCCCCCCCCAAAAAAAAAAAAATAAATAAATAAATAAATAAATAAATAAATAAAAAAAACAATCAAGAAATAAATTTTAAGTTCCGATTGATTTGATTCAATCACAACTCTTTATAATACAACAGGGCCCTAGTATATTACCCAAACGATCACCCGTGTGTATTTTATCTTATCTAAGAGATAAACATAATGCAAGAATAATTAATTTCCATGCTCATGAATACGATATAGAGACATAAACAAAAGTTATAGATAAATGAATATTCTCAGAAACGTTATGAATATTTAGCTCTAGTATGTTCCGAGCACTTCTATTTAAATACTTTTTGTTTCAGCACCCGATGGTCTCTGTTCTCCCGGCCAGTGCATGAATGGGGGAACTTGTGTTTCTGTAGTCGGTTTATCCTACTGCGACTGTACCGTTGGATTTGAGGGAGAATATTGTGAACAACCAATCACAAGTAAGTATACTCCTTCTTTAAGTAGAATATTTACAGTTTATTTCACCCTTTCTCTCCCGATTGTCTCTAATCCACCGTTCTCGTTAGTTATCTTAATCCTCTTTCGACGGCTCAATTTTCATTTTCGTGTTCAAAACCCTTTACAGTATCTTCTGTGTCTACAAGTACCCGAAACAATTAACTATCTAGCTTGGTGATTTTTCTTTCATGTATCCTGTCAACATGACTGCAAATTCTAAATACACGCACGACCTTTACTGCAGTTTGTTGACAAACTACAAAACATGTTTGATTTTGTTGTTGTAGGGGGGGGGGGGACTTGTCAGGAATATTTATTTCACCCCCATTCGAGTTGCATATCGGTGCTTTTTGCAAAGGATCATCAATTCAAATCAATTCAAATTTTATTGATTTAAATCCGAACAAATAGGATCATGTTCATGTTTTTTTTTTGTATAACATTGGATAACAAATTTCAAAATTATAGTGTAACATAGATAATTGAGTGTGAGAGTAAAAATTACAATAACCAGGAATGACAACAAATTCACGTACTATTATAGCACGACCTTATTCCAAACTCGTGGGAGACATTGATCATGGGATGACAATAAATAATGATCTTTACAATACTAAGGATCATCATGAATACATTTGCTAATACCCTCTTAAAAGGGGGCCCCCTTAATCAATTTTCTTTTCTATATTATGATTTAGACATTATATTTTGTTAATTTTCTTTATTTTAGCAACAAACGCATGTGCCTCTATGCCTTGTTTGTATGGTGGAAGTTGTATTATTGGATTAGATTCCTTTATTAGCTGCATGTGCCAGAGTGGGTTTACTGGATCAATGTGTGAAGAAGGTACACTGTTTCACTTTAAACTATATTTTTGAGTCAAATCGCATAAGGAATATAGAAATAATAATAATACAATATTTATAAAGCGCATAATAAACAGAAGTTTTTCTATGCGCTGTAAATTGCGGGGGGTGGGAGAAGGGGTCAGGATCACTAAACGACCCTTTTGGCAATGCGGTCATGTGTAATGACATGGAGAACTCTCCCTTGTTAATAGCTTATATCCACATTTCAGTGTAGCAGGTGTTTATTTTTCACTCCTAATGATGAAACAGACATATTTCCGCAGGAGAACATGTTTATATATATATATATATATATGTTCCATAACACGTTTGAGAATCCCCGTACCACTAGTAATGGGACTTTAAAAAATGCATAACATCTGCTGTTCGAATTTACTTACTTTTAATTCTTGGTTTTACTTCTACTCTCTAGGAAGGGTATCTTCGTATTTAAACGTTGTCTGCTTCGATCGGCTCATAGTATACGTCAAAAAGTTATTGCACGATTGGATTGCATAATTATGTAGTTAATTTCGCCTTTATCTGTGTCTTCACTTAAATAGTGGGGATATCAGTAATGTATTACATAATTATATTGAATTCTTCATCTATGTAAACCCTTAGTGATAATTTAACAGATAAATTATCCAAAGTTAAAAATGTTAAACTGCCTAGTACAAACTTGATTATTGCTATACTAAAACGGAGTTATTTAATTGGTAGAAAATTAGGTGTTGCTTTTGAAAGGTATATATTGCTTTTTTTACATCTCTCGGAGCATAAAAATCATACGCAAAATAGTCTTTTCTTTACCAAATATAAAGCACTTTCTGTTTCTTTTAGCAATAAACGAATGTACTTCGAACCCTTGTCTCAACGGAGGAACGTGTATTGACGGACAAGCTTTATTTATCTGTTTGTGTTCAAATGAGTATAACGGAACTAGGTGTGAAGAGTTAGGTAAGTCTAAATATCCATATAGGCCTACAGCTTATTATAGCTCTTGCGGAGAGAGGAAATACATTGTGGAAGGAAACGAGTCTCTATTTGCAGCAAAGTCTAATGAAAGTACTCCATTTCAACTCCCCCCCCCCCTATTTTGTTTTATTATTGGCAAAGGTCAAAGAAAAAAGTCTGTCTCGGCAATCAAACAAGGGGTCTCTGAACCCCTTGATCCACTAAAGGAGAACATCGTCCCCATCTCTCTTTTCAAAATAAAATATTAATCACTATACACGCCGGGGAGGGATCCAGGATTCTAAGCTAAAAAATAAAATTATTCAATTCCCAGTGCCATTTGGGGTCTGAAATTTTGAGGCAAATTTGTTAATGAGTACTTAAGATATTCCAGAGAAGATACTACCCTGATCACACACTCTACTAATCATCTTATCTTTTACAGGGCAGAGCAACCCTCCTACCACAACTAAATCACCAACCGTGGCAACTGAAATGCCATCATCTAGGTCAACAACCCGCATCAACGGTCCTTCTCCTCCTGAAATATCTGGAATTACTTTAGGTAGGTTACATCCCTCTATTTCTAGCCCCTCTCTTTATTCTCTCTTTTATTTAATGAACGAAAAGGTGTAGACCTACATTGAAATTAAAATCTACCAACTGCAGTGCCATGTTTTTGTTCGTTTTGTCTAGAGAATGTGTATATTCCCAGTAGTTTTTTTTAAATAATGAAACGTATTGCCCTTCAAGAGGGATTGGTCTAGCTCCTTTTTCTCTTTCTTCTCCTCCTACTCTCTTTCTGTTTCTTCTTCTTGTCCTGCATTCCCCCCCCCCCCCCCCGCTTATTGCCTCTCTTGCTCCGCATCGTCCTTCTTCTTCTTCTTCTGCTACAGGACAAATAGCTGCCATTTCATCAGGTTTGGCAGTACTCATACTATTCACAGCAGTCGTTTGGATAGCAGTATGTATTCGACTCCAGTAAGTGGTCACAGTGCATCAGTAAACTTTATTGTGTCTTGAGCTCCAGTTACGTTGATCTTTTTGTAATTGATCACAAAGAAAATAACAAAAATATGAGATTATTCTCATAAACTTGACTTACAAATGTGCTCCCTTCCACAAATATAAAGTGTATTGGCATAGCTTTAGTCATGCAATAATCCCATATTTCTATAGCAATTTAAAAGGAAACGTGTGCCTAAATACAAACTTGTTAGTAAAGACGTAAGATGTACATTGTAATTAATTGATAAAAATGTGTGTGCGAATTTAGCGTGCAAACATTGTATGACCATCAAATCAATTGCGAGAAGGTCCATTGGTATGAAAGAAAACACCCATTTGAAATAAAATGTTTTGTAACATAATCCTAATTTTTTAAACTATCAGAATAGACAAGAACCTGTGAATATCATTAATATGTGTAATCTTTGATTCCTTGTCTCAATCTCTTGTCTCATTCTAGAAAAGAAAGTGGCAAAAAGCCAGAGAGGCCACTGTCGATGATCTCCCAGCCACACAGCTTCAAAGACCCGCCAACGTTAGACCTAGAGATGCAGGAAATAAACCAATCCAGGGGAAACGAAATTCATGTCCTATCCTAAAGACAAAGAATCTAGATTATATTGTCATTGTTTAGAAATATATATCTATGTAAAGCTATCTTAGGGGCATTGTGCCTGGGGCAATCTTAATACAATTACCGAGGAGTATATTTATATTATATAGCAATATTAGTATTATTATTTGTTTTTTGTTGTTGTTATTGTTATCACATCAGACGCTACATGCATCATCTCCACTCCATGGGGATAATTATGTTCACTATGAGGTTGAAAGTGAATTTCAATCACAATGGCTTTCGTAATTCTATGATGTCCCCTGTGAAAAAAAGTTGTTGAATGCATATAAATGTCGTGGCAAAATACATTAAATGTATTGATGCATACTATACATGTATACTTTGGGGGCATAGGGGTGTTATTGTATAAATGTATATAAATTGCAATACCAAATTTCTTCCACTTGACTTTGGAAGTAGGTTGTAAACATATTGGCTTAATGTAAGTAAATGATGTGATCATATATATATATATATATATATAGTTGTTTTATATGAAGAGTATAACAAATTCATTTATTGTCTAATATCCCACTCCGGTAAAAACAGTTTCTAAATATAAATAATAACTCTTAGAAACACTTACAAATGCAAAAGCGTTATATCCTCAAATCAAATACAAGTGTTGCTAAAACAAAGGTTTATCATGTAAACATGTTACAAATTTTCACGGACTTACAAGGGCGTAAGTCCATTAAAAAAATTGTGATACAGTCATCAACGTAGAAAGTAATCAATTCATGGATCTCTTGCTATAGAATCAAAAAGCCAGGTTTGTTTCAATCACACTGACGACCATGACATATACAAGAACTGCACACTTGATGACATTATTCATTATTGTTGTTTTTTTACTGTTTATTTTAAAAAGATATCACAAATATGAAAATACTCTTCAATCGTATGTTATAATACTGATTTGTTACAATAAGCCTCTCAAATTGATGTATCCAATTCAAAAACTAAAATGCAGCATGAATTACATTCATGCAAAGAAATGGTAGATTCAAGCTTTAAATTAGGAGATTTAAGCTTATGGAGTACACACAGAGCAGGAAAATATATATCTCTCTCTCTTTTCCTTGCAAAGAGCATAGTCCATAGATTAACATTAAACTGATAGCAACGATAACTAATTGCAGCCACATTTGTTTTTCTTGATCAGTTTGTCTAACCCACAAAATCAATTTGAAATGCGTCCTTAGATAAGAGGCAGGTCGAAAAGATTATATAAAAATAATTAAAAGCTCAGTTCTGTCTGATTGTTTTCTTTTTGTGTACGTGTGTGTGTGTGTGTGTAATAAAGTGCACATACCAGTCCTTGAGTTACGCCAGAAACGTATGGGTGGATGCATGTGAACTTTCTTTCACTGAAAAAAAACAGTTACCACCTCTCTCCGCAGGGAGTGTGATGGAACCTGGAAATATGATCAGCCTAAATAACCAAGAATATCAAGTCAAATTGACACATTTCTCTCCAAAGTGGACTTTTCAAGGCAATACTGGCCTATTTAATGCTCGTTCAGATACGGAGTGGTAAACAACAGCATTTTTTTCTAAATGATGACAAAAAATGTAAAACACTTTACATTATTGTATTTCATAATTGTATACATGTATGTATATTATGAATATGTGCACGACTCTTGCTACGAGCAGTTGCCATTCATTTACATTTCCTTGAAAACGTGACTAATTTTTGCAGGGCTTACAGTGCCATATATCTGAAACGGCCTTTACACAGAGAAGTTTGTTTGTATGTTAATGCACTACGAATACAAAGAAAATCAAATTTTCTATTAAACACAATGAAACAATGAATTTTTAGCTCTATCATTCCATTTTTTCAAGAAGTTTAGATGTATTCACAGTTAACAGTATTCACTTCTCTTAAATCCTCTCTATTTCAATACATTTTTAGCACATTTTAAAGGAATATCACCAGATGTGTAACACTAATTTCATTCTGAAATAGCTGAATTTTTTTAAAGTCACTCTTGGTGAAATGGTCGGCTTGCTTAAACATAAAATGTTATATCTCAGACCTAGCATTGCCTTGAATAGGGGTTATCAAGGGATGGAGAAATGGTCTATAATTAAATCTCCCCATTTAACGACAAAGTAAGGATACATAAAACATGGCAAGAATTTTTCAGCTTTTCATTTTGGAGAAATAAATTTCAAATTAAAAAAAGGGAATCAAATGTTGAGGAATATGGCCCAGTTTTAGGCTTGTATATTGATGGTAGCTTAGTTTTGATAACAACAGAAATTGTGTCGATGGTACTTCAATCTTACTTTTTTGTTAATGCCATGATTAAGAAGTCTATCATATCATTTTATAGAATATTTACAACATACACTCATGGATAGGGGAGTGGGCAAGAAGGGTAAAAGTTATTGGGTTAAGCAATCAAAAATGAGAGTGAAATGATCGTCTTATATCAAACGACCCCATAAAATTCAAAAGCATTAGCCTACTGAGCAATCTATATATAGAGATCTGTGGTGATGATGAGGAAAAACCTGCATACATACAAGAATGAATCCAACATACCCATTCTTGTTGAAAATAATTTCCCAGAGTACATAGTTGTCTAAGGTGTTTTTGTAATAAATCTAGGTACAGGTATCATGTCTAAATCATGGAGAGATTCCCTACTAAATACCAAATAGTACATATAATGATGATGGAAAGCATATTTAACTCAAAGCTTGTAATCGATCATTTTATGATGAAATGTATAATGTTCATCATTAAGTTTTATTTCTTAATCTTTTAACATGACCTTTCTGCTATTGTGCAGATAAGCAAACTTGACATGCTAAGAATTGATTTGAAGAGTACCTTTCATTGACAAGACTTGTCAATCTTTTACACATTTACACGAGTCAAAAATAATGCTTGAATATGTTTAGTGTAGGACATTGACCGCGGAGCTATTGTCTCCCGAGCATGTGTCGTGCAATCGACGGGTTGCATACCCATGTCGTGTTTGGCGGAATGTGGATCACTAGGCAGCATTAAACAGCTGAAGACCTGTCTTAACATAGATGAACACCAGCTCCCTGGCCTTGTGCTCCTGATGATAGAATGAAGAAAGGATGGAATAATATTTGGACATTACAAAAATAACTACCAGAATAAAGTCTCAAATCTTGAATTTGTGTGTGTGTGTGTGTGTATGTGTGAAATCTGTAATTTTAGATTAAATACTTTTTATTGAAATGTAACAATAATCAAAAGAAAATCAGAAACATCTTTTACAAAAGTATCAACTTTATCCCCCTACCATCCCCCTCCCCCCCCCCCCCCCCCCCCCCCCCCCCCCCCCCGCCAATTTGCTCCTCTGTTAGAATTGTAATTGTTAATTTTGAGCCTCAGGAAATAAGAAAAACAGCACGGAGGGATATTGTGAAGAAGGGTTTGCATAAATAAATGAATGAGAGCATGTATTACTTTAGAATTGTTAAAAGTACCTAGGTAACCTTTTTTATATTATTAGTTGGTAACTTTAACCTAAATTTTTCCACAATAAATAGCATATATTGGCCTACACATATTGTGTGAAGATGAAGATACTCACTTAACACACTGCTGAAGAAAGAGACATAGGTAGCATTACTGGTGACTGCTTTGTAGCTTGCTGGGCTTTTTCTTGTCGTAGAGACCGTGAAAGCTTTCCCTGCGCTCGCATCCCCGGGGCCTATCACGTCAATCTGAATCAGATGATACTCCCGAGCACTGAGAAGGAAGCAGAAAAAGCAACAATTTTAAATACATAGTACAAATGGAAAATGGTACTTTTGTAAAAGCCAATGAGGCATGACAATTGAATGCACCAGGCACACAAGTAATATTAAACAAAATGTAATATTTATTTTCTATCATAAAGGCAGTTCAAATGTATGATAATTTGTGAGCTTTCTCATTTTGAAATATGTTTGTTTAGAGAGGTATCATAGAAGGATCCTCCCTGGAAAGCATTGTTCTTCAAATACCCCCAAATTAAAATATAATGAGAAATAGCTGAAAAGTTTGTACCAAACTATCATGCCACATGTTGTTTAGTCCCATATAAAATTGTCTGTATGCAGTAACCTACATGTGATTTTCAACAAGACTGTGTCAATTGTTATCATGTTGATACATCCAAAACCTCAGAGTATACAGCAATTCTTATGTTCTACCTTATCCTTGTTCTCCTATGAATTCCAGATAGTTTCTTTCACAATTCAATCATAGGTAGAGGTGTCGTGGTCTAGTAAATATGTTGTCGGACTGTGGATCACAGGGTTCACAGCTCGAGTGCTGCTGCGGCACTAATGTCCTTTGGCAAGACATTAATCTACCTCCATTCCCGGTGGTAGATGGGTACCGGTAAGAAGAAAATCCTTGAAGGTTGTGAGCACCAAAACCGGTAGCCTAGCAGAGCCGGGATAATATTAGAGCATCTTGATAGATACAACTAGTGTGCGCTTTAAAAATATCCAATATTTACTATCATAAACAGTGGTCAGTAACATACAAATAAACTCGCTGTTTTGCAATTGACCACTATGTACGATCAAGTAAGCATACAATCAATTGCTAAGCTTTGTGTTAGGGGCCCCTGAACTTAATGAGCTCTGTCTTTAATCTTACTTAGGATCTGAGGCGATGCATCCTTGGACCTTTTCAAAGCCTAAGTTGTGTGCCATCATACACGCAGCAGCCATTGTGTTGACATTGTTAGGTGCTAGTGGACATAGGTCTTTCACAGGGCCTAGCGGAATATCAAAAGGAAAAAAAAAGAGCATTGATTTATAGAAAAAAGTAATTATACATGGAGGACAATTGCAACCTCCGATATATATCTTTCACTAGCCCCTCACCTCTGACACCTTACCTTACGATTACTCCAGAAAGCATTCAATAGTACTGCAAATAACATCATCTTCTGTGCCTTGTTAGAAACAGAAGGCCCAGGTAGTGTTACGCTC